TATCAAGTATTTTCACATAAATCAGCACCACGGCCCATGGGCATTGACTGGGTTTTGTCGAGGCATTGGGGAGGAAGGTTTTGTGCAGCAAAGAGAGTGCACAGATTGTCCAAAGAGGACATTGCGACATTACCTAGCTTTCAAGAGCTGTGCATTCGTGTGAGGTATTTCACATTTCCGTCGACGCCGGAGATATGATACAATTGTAGTGAGGTATCTTCCCGTATATCTGAAGGGCACCTCCCTTGAACCATGAAGTGTGTCTCAGATTCCGGTTTCCATGTGGATGTTTTGGAGCTGTGAAAGGAGCCGAAATCGACTTGTGCGCGGGTAATCGGCCTATGGCAAGATTCAATGGCCTGCCAGCACACGGGGTTCATTCCAGAAACTCGGGGTACAACAGCCCTCCTTTACGTTAACGGCACTTTTGAAAAGGGAAAAAACCATGTGTCCTTAACCGAGGTTTGTTGTGTGTTACAGTGGGCACCGTGCTGTCGTGTTCGTTGACATGAATATGTGCGAAAAGGGCCCTTTTATCCTACTGCTGTTGTCCGTGGGGTGAAGACCGGGAACAGTGCAGCAGGGTGCGCGCATCAACAGCCGAGGATGAACAAATGAAAGGAACAAGTAATGTGTTCCTACCTGCGTCACATGCAGCAGTATGATGAGCGGCATTGACGTGGTCTGATATATTGTAGCCTTGGCTGCATCCCTGTGGCATGATTTGCCCACTGCTGCCTGCTACGCATAGACTATATGGTAAATACAAGTCGTGGATTTTTGTAGTGCATAACGTATTTGTGTCCGTCCGCAAACACTCGGCAACCAAACCAAACAGATTGATTCCGTATGCATATCAATAGACTACACTTGGCAAAACCCCAGGTTTCCCTTGGTGATGCCTTCGTGCTCCTACTGACTCCCGCCCAAGGTGCATCGTTTGACGTATGCAATTTCGCGTCTCCGTTGCCACCGGAGATAGTGGGCTCTCTCCCCGTAAACCTAAGGACACCTCCCTCCGTCATTGTAGCGACACGTGTGAAAAGGGAAAACACATTCCATCACTGAAAGACTACTCGTTCGAGATAATGCCACAGAGTTCGGATATGCTAAACTTGAGTATTCGGAAATTTGAAATTTGTTACACAGCCGTACTTGCTGTTAGAACATTAGAACTATCACGAAGTCTAATACTCCGAACCTTCCACGGTCTTGTGGAGACAGAAAATAAATGTGACAGGCTAACCCGCAACGGACGGCGGTGGTGCCTCCCACTGCTGTCCAAATGCCGGAGGGGAACCAACGTAATACGTGACTCAACCCTTTTGAAAAAGTTGCACAGCGGAACAAGCTTACACTTGACGACCAGTAACCATTGATTGCGCCGAGAATATGAACGAGGATGTTAATCCAGCACGGGTTTCGGGTTTCGTCATTTCATGTCAATTTCGAGAAAAGAACGCTGATTCGCTGTCCCTGTGATGGTACGTATTTATTCCTCGGAACCACGAGACCAGCGCATTGTCTTTCTTGGAGACAGCACTGAGGCGAAGTACACAGATGCGGCCGGTTCTTCACAGGCGACTGAGCAACAGCAGCCATGGAGACAAATGTCCCTTGGCCATGTTCGATGGGCCTGTTGTCCTACCTGTGCGAGAGTGAGACAATGGTCCTCTCGCATATATGCTCGGGAAAGGGCAAAAAATTACAAATTTTTACATTGTAGCGGCGGCATCGGCAATTTGCCAACGCAATCGGATCAACTGCAGTTTTTCTTTCAGAAAACGACAAATTTTGGAAACAGCTGTATGTGTCTCCCTCCCCCCGTAGCTGTAACCACTACCAGAGGCGATTTCCCTATCTCTGTGTGTATGTTCTTGGGACGCCGTCCTACTACCCATCAAATGGAGAAAAGGGATGGATGGAGTTTGGTCGGCGTTGCTTGGCCCTTCTACGAACATCCAACATTAATATTCCTCCTCTGCCTGCTCTCTCTCAGCAAAAACAAAATCGTCTTTTCCAAAACTGCTCTGTGTGCCAGATGGACTCACCGTCGGCGCTCATCAGCCACGGGCGTCGGCTGAAGCCTGAGCAAAAGGCTGTCCACCTGTTTCCTGACGGATGTTCCCTTGTCTTGCCCTCGATCGGGCACGCCATACGGCTCCTGGGCGATGGAGGATTTGCTCCGCATGCAAGCAAGTCCTCTCACGCACGCACCGCCCCCTGCCCGCTGCCCTACCCACCCTGGGTTCCGATCGCCGGCTCCGGTGAACCTATTGCTCCTGAACCTCCACCTCTGATGTATGATGTACTACTTTAGAGAGCCCTTCTAGCCTCCATGCACCTCCGGGATTCGTACCCTTCACTTACTGGCACAGACACCTGGTGGTGGTGAAGCCAACACGCAAAGAGAGATAGATGCCCCGCTCTCGAAATTGTCCAGACTAGTAGAAGAAAAAAAAATCTGCCTCTCTCACGACAAGATGTAATAAACGCCTTCCATGTTTGAGGGTGAGGGCCGAGAATCCCCCCCCCCTTCTCTTGTCTTGAAAGTGTCTTGCCTTCTCGGCCATGAATTCGCACTCAGAGTGCAAATTATAAATGCAATCATCAATCATCATGTCACCGTGTGACAGATGATGATGGACTCAGGCTCCTTGCAGTAGTTGCCGCCCGCTATGCAACATTGTAACCTTACTTATTGTACCTTTTTTTTTCGTCGCCACCGCCGCCGCCAGAAGAAATGACCACTGCTGCTGCTGCTGCTGCTCTGTGGCGCGCATTATATTTTAGTCTACATAAGAAACCAGTCCGACAGATGATGCCGAACAAACCACTGCATGATGGGCACCGACGAATGAATACAGTATGTGAGCCAAGTAAGTGTGAGCCTTTCTTCGTACTGCATGCGGCCGGCCGGTGCACCAAGATCTATGCTTGCTTACGACGGCTTCAGTTTTTTTACGTTTGTATTACGTATCGTAAGTAAGTATGGTATGCATACAATACCTACTAGACTTCTAAAATCTATTATTATATAATAATAGTCCATGTGTACTACATGACGACCGCAAGAAGAGCGCGCGGGCGAAAGCTTGTTTTGTTCTTTAAAAAAAAAAACACACACACACACACAAGAAAATACTTCAATCAACCCCACATCCCCTTCGACTGTGGGTAGTATGTAGTAGTCTTCTTACTTACTACATAGACTACATGGATCTAGTCCATCTTTATTTATTTATATTTTCTCCAGTGAAGAGTGGGACAGGGCGGGGGGAGGGGTGACGCTTGCTGCTGTAGTAGTCGAGTGCGGACGGACGGGTGCGAAGGTGTACCGATTCTGGTAAAAGTCAATCGACGGATACCCTGCGAATCGGGTCCTCCTCCTTAACACTCTCCACCCACAGAATTTACCCTCAACTGGGAACCTCTTGTGGCCAGGACGGGTAATTCGATGGAAGTGTCACAAGGTTCTTTATAGGATCGATTCCAAGAGGTGTTCTCAGGACTGACACACATGGTGTCCATGGGAAAATGTCCAAGTCAGGAGAATAAACGTGCACCCAAGGAGATTCGAACCAGTATCCAGCTGACGCCATGTGCGAAGGTGTACCGATTCTCGTAAAAGTCAATCGACGGATACCCCGCGAATCGGGTCCTCCTTAATTAACACGGGTAATAATAAAAAATGCTGTAAGAAAAGCTGTTTTGGGCACGCAAACGTACTGCAGATAGATGAAGTACAGCTGCTGTAGGTGTATGTATGTATGTGCTGCTGTATGTAGTACCTCTTTAGTATATGTTGTAGTGTGCGTGTTCTTCTGTAGATAGATCTATCTATCTATTGATGGCTCTTCTAGCATTTTTGTGACAGGGACAGAGGGAGGGAGTATTTTTGCTTGATTTTGGGAATAATTAGCAACATACATACATACGTAGACTAAATACTACAAGCATAGATACATAGAAGACGACAACAACAAGAACAACAACAACAACATGCCAGCGTACGTACGTATGTATTTTCGTATTTTCCACAAATAAATACAACGAAAACGTACAATCAATCCATGGATGGATCTGACTATCTACGCATACTTCTTGTGGATCCTGGCTACTCCACCCGCGGATGGATTATTTATAGATTGAGAAGGAGTGGAGAACGTTTGTTTGTCCCCCAAACGGGTCCAGCCCTACAAGTAGAGCTTCTCGTGGCGTTCTGTGGGTACCTTTTTGTGTCATCGTGACCTGGAAAAAAATGTCGACGTTGACAAAGTACACAAAAATGTCGACGTTGACAAAGTACACTTGCCACCCACGGGGTACAATTTGCAATAATTTTGTCTCGGCTTGGTCCAGCGAACGAAGACGATGATTATTATAGAACGCACAGGTTTTGGATTTGACACCAATACCTGTGATATTGATTTGATTGATTTGACTTTTGTTCAGTCTCCTCATTCTTCCTTGCGTGTGTACGAGTAACCGGATGAACGGACCGAAACTCCGTCAAAAGGCCAATCCACGAGGAGGGAGGTCAGTCATATTATTACTGAACTTCAATACCTATGAAACAGGACAAGTTATCCATAACATTTAGGACAGGATGCCGCGTCCAAACACATGCAGTAGCACGAACGGGTGTTGCAGTCTGCTCGAAAAAATTTGATACAAAAATGTAACATTTCTCGGCCGTCAATTAGCCCAATCTGCTTACACATGTACGCATAGAACGGATGTGGGCCCATTGCAACGGCAATGTGATTCCCTTCTGGTATGAAACGACACGACACCTTGCTTTCCAACTCCCTTCAGACACACAAGCTGAACAAGCGTAATGCTGGAAGGGAGTTGAGGGCAAAAAATCTACCACACTTTATTTACCCTCGAAAGCGTGAACCCACCATCAAAGTCGGTCGTTAGTTCCTACACCGACCGCCGATGCTGCTTCAAGCTCTACTGTAGCAGCTTTATCTGAGTTCAAGAACCTACCAACATCAACCTCCACGTCTCGCCGCCGGAGTAGTAAGGTACGGCAGGTTACACATCGCATGCACATCTGGGCGAGTTGCGTGTGTATAGGTGAGACACGACCGGATGAACGACTTGGCCTCCTCCGACACCACGGGCTTTGGCGGGAAATCCACCCTGTTTGCGTTCACGATCACTTTCTCCCGGAGAATTTTCTCCTGGAGAGCAGGGTTTGGGGGGTCGTTTGTGGGGGAGGAGCGCACAATAGAGAGGCAGAACGGGAGGGCCGGGATGGGATTACTTGGATATTACTGCCCAGCGTCATCTCACGACTAACCCACAGGTGTCCCTCTCGAGACGAGGCACAGGGAGTTAGTTCCTCCGAAAAAAAAGACAAGACAAAAACACACGTGTGCTCGTTGTTTGCACCGTTTGACCTGGGAATTTCTATCTTGTGCCGCTGAGGGATTCTGCGGGAACCACGTAGTTCCTCTATGCTACGTTCCTACTGTAGTGTGGAGGTCATGTTCTCACCTTTTTGTAGAGTTCATCCATTTCAAATTATCTAGCCCCTGATCCCCACGTTATTACGCGGATTTGCAAGATGAAACGCGATGCGAAGTTTGCACAAAACACATGGGTGAAAGGAATTCAATCCGGCTGTATGGGGCTATGGCATATAGTAAACAACAGTCGTTGAGTAACACTCCCCCCGGACATACCTCCAAAACGACACTTCCGTGGCCAAGAACCATTCTGCCTTACACCGAAACGAATGCAAGCCCAAACGAGAGGTCACAAGGTAAGGGGGGGGCGTCCAAAGCGCATACAAACCGTCGCTTAGGTACAACGTTACGTCGCCCCTTCGGTATCTGGACAATAGCGACTCGGCGAATCGCGTGTTCATGTGCATACAGGTCCACGTCATCTGAACCCGTTGAGCCTTTAGGAATTTGTTGGTTCCCAAATCTCAAATCTCCGTTAACAACATGTGCATACCCAATCCGCGTCAATACTATGTGGAAATCCAACTAGGTTGGGTTAGGTTCGGTAGTCGCGAGCCCCTCGACGACGGATGTTCAAAACCGTGACAAAATATAGGCCCACCAAAACCAGGTATCACTGCGGAAAGCACGAGGTAATCCAACATCTTAAACCCAATCGTGATCCTCTGTCCAACAAAAAAGCGAGACTTGTATGACCGGAGGATGAGCTTGAAACAGAACAAATGGCTCTGGCGGTGCGTCAGATAGTCACGCGGAATGTGTCCAACAGTAGCGTTGATGGACTTGAGCAAATGTCGACATGCCGCATTCATCTCTGTTGCTCTCATGTCTTTCTGGCGGGCGGCCTCTTCTCCCCTGAATTCTTCAAACTCCTCAACTTAAAAGAATAGCATTTTCTGCGGCTACAAGTATGCGGCATGGGCAAAGCTGAGGCTTCGAATACTCTTCGCTGTCCGCCTACCACTCCGCCTGCAATTACGTCATATCTTTCTCCATTCTCACAAGTGCAGGCCCCCTGTGTGTATTCCATCTGGGTCATTCAGATACTCTACGTCTTCTCGATACTTCCTGAGGATCTCTCGAGCGTTCCTCATTATCCGTATATCATCTCTACCCCGTGGTAGCCTACCACTCTTCCTGGTTTCCCCCGAACATAACTGTTTTGGGCGTCGTGTTAACACCTGGCCTGACAAACAAGAAATTGAGTTTTTCGCCATCGATATATCTTGGCCAGAATCCCAATCACTATATATGTGTCTCTGAGGTGCACACTCGGCAAATATAAGCTCTTGACGGAGGCCATTCCGTAGGGTATGGACTAGTCAAGAGAAGCTCCCAACTAATAAGTGCCGGGAAAAGGTTGATACCCAAAAGAGGGCGAGAGCTAGCTGCACGAGAGTTACCTCCGACGAAACGCAGTGTGCAGGTTCTGCAAGCCATTCTGAAGACGCGTAGAGCCCCAAGCGGTTTCTAAAATGTAGCTGACGTGAAGGGGGGGCGAGGTGACAGTCGTGGCACACGCGCTGCTATTTGCCCACCACCCACCTGAGAAAGTCCCTCTCCGAAGGGTCGAACCCCGTACAAAATCTGGTAGAAGATCACCCCGAGGGACCACACATCCACCTTGGAGCTAATTCGAGGGTTGTCGCCAAAGCACTCCGGAGGAAGATACCTGTCAAGTCGAATGTCCCGGCAACACAAGGTCGTAAGACACAAAGGTTACATACCGACGTGACAAACACTGCAGGCCATCCACCACGGAGCAGTGTGAAACTCACAGACGGGTTTTGGCCAAACGAGAAGAAAGGTGCAAAACTCGACCACAGGTGCGGGGTAGATAGTGACGTAGCAGAGAACGCCCATAGAGCAGGTGTCTTGCCTAGTTACGTGATTCAACCGGGGGCGCATACCTGGCAAAAGACTGTTCAATACCAAGACCCGACACGAAAGAGACACGCGGTGCCAAGTTGGTCTCCAGAAAAACATCCCCGGTAATTTCTTACGGCTCGAACTGGTCAACTACTATCATCTGGGGAACACACACGGTACATATCGCCAGCTGCCTACTCCCGGGCGTCACCGTGACCACTACCACAGAAGAGAGAGTAGGGGCGGGGAGGGGGGGGAGCGCAGAAGGTCGTAGAGGCCGCCCTCCAGTGCTCATGATTGAAAGAATCGCCTCATCAAAAAAAGAAATCGGGGTTTGCAAAAACGCAGCTTCAATGGACGGGTCCTCGGGACAAGGATGCCCTACCCCCGGTCCCCACCCCGTCCGCCCGATATCATACGCTGTTTGCCCTCTTGTCGGCCCAATCACCTACCGCCAATTACGGCATAAACAAATTGTTTTCACCTTGCCTTGTCGGACAAGCAATCTTCATGGCAAAAAAAAATCGTTCGAGGTACCACCGAAACTGGCGTCTAATCCATTTGTTGATTGGGGCTACATGTACACACGTGGACATGGGGGCGATTCGCGCAAACTGAACCAGATCTTCGAAACGGCCACTTTCGCGCTGCCGGTGCTCGGTTTCAAAACTCCATCCCATCAACGTCGCGTGAACAGTCATTTCTGGGTAGTCACGACTGCTAATCACCTTGTCCAGGTTTCATCGGCTGCGCTTTTGAGGTGCTGTGGTGATGCGCACTGAACGTCTCTCTCTGGATTGGGAGAACACAACGTGCCATGTCGGGTGTACCCGAAAACACTTTTGACAAATTGTCCTCGACCTTGAAACACCTCTCTTGAGAAACTACGTCTAGCCGAATCGACGGTGATCTCGGACCTGCTGCGACTGTAGGACTGGGGTGTATTTAAACACTCCCTCCTACGGTTTCTGGCAGCATGTGGTGCCATGCCGCGAATAATATAGTGGAAGGCGTGCCGACCACAAGTTTCAGGGATCCAAACTCTGCCTACTGTTGAAGTCAAAATTCCACCAGAATCCCGTGGGGGGACCAAGAACGGCTCCTGTGGAGAGAAGCCTGAAAGCCCTTTCATGAGTCATCACTCATGATGATGGCCAACATGCGGGGTATCTTAGTCTTGTTTGGCAGACGAACGCACAAAGCCCTACCGTACCCTCCGCGAAGCTGACGAAGCCTTGCAAGTACAGCACAGGGACAACGCTGGGCTCACCAGTATGTTCCGGCTCCCTTGGAAGTAAGCTCCATCGATGTTCCCCCGCCCGTACCTCTTTCTGTGTCCTTCTTGATTTCAAGGATCTAGATCATAGATGCACGGGAGCAGCAACATGCACAGCCGTCAGCACTGCCGGAGTAGGGCGGGTCGAGCGCGCAGTGCCACCGGGATCAACGTCGAGAAGGTGGAAGCAACAATCAAGCATCAAGTGCTGGGTTACATGGTAAATAATGACATAGCAAACCAGCACAAGAGGCGGATAGATGGCACCCCCCCTTGACCGTCTTTCAAAGGCCGATTGCTCCATAACCAAGGGGGTGCAGAAAGAGACCGGTACGTCGACGGAAAGTCCTCGACGAGATGTTTCCAAAACAAATATTGTTGGTGTTGGCACAAGCTTCGTTGTGGAGCAATCGAGCTTTGGAAGTCGCTCTAGGGGGGGTGCCATCTCTCCCCCTCTTAGGAGGGTTCCGGAAGTGTCAGGAATGCCACGTGATAACAACGACAATGTACCTTGGACAAGCCGAAGTCTGTGATCTTGACGTCCCCGTTTTCATCGAGCAAGATGTTGCCAGGCTTGAGGTCGTAGTGGATGATTGCACCTCTCCTACTCTCCCCTTCGCCCTGCGAAATAGAAGCACGCCCAGGAACACACGCGATGTGGGCGGATCCCACAATGAAACAACACTATTAATGCTTTCGTCTTGCTGCACAGGGAGGGCTCAAGTTTACTACAGCCGTCCTGAGCTTGAGTTCAACCCGAAGGAAAGGTACCGTGGACGCAGTATTGCGTTCAACAATTCTGCGTTACGAGGTACGACGTACGTGGGTCTCGTTCCGCCCGAAATCTAAGGAGCTCCACGCAGAGACGCGAATCGCGGGTTACTGGGACATGAAAAAAGACACTGCTCTTTGTAGCAGATATCCATCCCTGCTACCTGAGCGGTGTTCAGGTACTGCAGCCCTCTCGCTACTTGGAGAACTAAGGCCCGCGCATCTCGTTCCGGCAGCTGTTTTCTCTCGCGGAGCAGGCACTCCAAGTCAGTCCCTCGGCAGTAGTCCAGCACCGTCGCAAACGAATCGCAACAAATCTCGAACACGTCCGTGAGGTTCACGATGCGCGGGTGACGCATTTGCTGGTGGATCTGTGGAGTTGACATGTTCAAACAGGGGCGAGGGTTGTGTATTGCTGCCCACCTCCAGTCAACCCGATCATTGACCACGCAGCTCCTTCGAAGTGAAGCACCGCACCTATACCTAATACAGACACGTTGAGCTTTTCGGTGACGTCTTCTTGTCCATCATGGCCCAGTGGCGGGCTGTAGAGACTCCGTTGGTGCCCTTCTCCCAAAATTAGAAAAATGATCCTCGCTACCACGATAGTGCCAAAGGAGTCCGCGGTGTGTATGACTGTGCGAGTGTCGTCCCATTTCCGTGTTACGCCCATCCCTTTACGTACATAACTCATCTCCTTCGGGACATCCCTCTTCTTGTATCTGTCGTTGGGGGGGGGTTCACCACCAGATGCGGTCATGATTGCCAAACCAACGGTCGGGTGCTGGGTCCTACTACTAGCGGATTGAAACCCGGCGAAGCCGCACGGTCAAGCCTTCAACATCGCCCACCCCCCAATACCCCTCCCCCCGGCTGGCCGGCGAAGGGGACCCGGCGGAGACGCCCCCAGAGGGCCCCGTTACTACTTTATCGTCCACGGCGCCTCTTATCGGTTTCCACCCGCCCTACTCAATAGGAAGACAGGAGATTAAGTCCGACGAAGTTTGAAGGCGATAACTCGGGTGGGAGGTGTTGAGCAACGCACCAAATACCCCATGCCATGTGTTAGAATTACGTCTGAGACTGGGCGAAACACTTTCCACGTAAACTAGCGGCACTAGCACTTAATACAGGCCGTTGGAAGTGTGTAGGTTAACAATCTGGCAGCACATACTGGCCCAGTACCACACTACCATCAAAACTCTCGGCTGTGATTTGGCGACACAACTGCCGTTGAGATTTCACACGGAGAAGTTGGCCATTAGGGTTGCGGTGACGCCACGGATAGGGTGCGCAGTAAGCTGACGCGAAACTACAAAAAAAACAGTCTTTGTGCGGAGCACTATGCACTGGTATTGCACAACGTTTAAAGGATGCACGACAAATATTTGATGCCACCATATACCAACGCATCGCAAGTCGTTCCGCACATACGAGTGGGAAAGTGTGATTGTACTATAATTGTTGACGCGTTACGCCCTGTATTAACGAAGAACCAAAAATCAATTTTGAAATGGGTCTAATATCAAGTTCAAGATGCGTTATAGTGGAAAACTGGAAAAAAAGGGCTCAACCATGTTATGGAGGATAGAACACGGGTCGGGCAAGGAAGATCCAGCAGCAAGCGGTGTTGTTAGATGGTTTTGCGCTCTTCTGATCACGTGTTCACCGATATCTCGCCGAATAAGGAACAATTTTCGTCAAGAAAGGTATCCGGAAGGAGCTGATTCCACGGGCTGTTGAATGATCCCAAGGTTTGGCGCCGTGAAATGCCGGTGGCGCCCTAATAAAAAGTTTGTGTGGACCTCAACGGCTCGACAGCGGTTGGTTCAAGTTCCGTGTTTTAGACCGCCACGGGTTTGGTTCTCCGACGACAACTTTTCGAAGGAGGAAGCAACAGCAATAGCAATGCCACCCGCCGGGAGGTAGCCCTCTGCTCCATCTTTCCTGCCCGAGGTCTGGTACCGTGGGGTATCGTGCGTATCGGGAATATAGTTTTGGTTGGCCCTAAAGTCTTCACGTGAGAGCGGTTGCTTCAAGCTCGCGGGGGTTGTCTGCTCACGGTTTGGTTTTCTTTTCCAGCGACAGCTTTTCGAAGAAGGGAGCAACAGCAATAGCCATCCCACTCCGAGGGAGGTTGCTCTACCCAGCATCTTTCTTGTGCAAGGTTAGCTGCCTTGGGGTATTGTGAGTGTGGAGAAGAAAGTTGCAACTACCCTCCCGCGCGGAACAGCCCGAAAAAGCCGCGTCAGCCCTGTTTTGATCATCAGTCTCGTCGCCACTTGTGACGATCGGCACTTTCTCATTGAGAACACAACGCGCCGGCCCGGTTATAGACTTGCGGGTGAGCGGAGTCTTCTGGCTACAAGGAATGGCCATGGTCTCGGTGGTAGGGTGACGATAGCCTCTCTAGCTCGATTTTGATTTAGCTTATTTCAATTTTCTTTTTTCTTCAATATTACGGGGCCTTACCGAAGCGTGCATGAGTAACCCACTAGGGAGGGGGGATACATGACGTATTCCTACCTCGTACTCGCGAGTGACGTGTCGAATGAAGTTTGCCTTCTGCGGTTCGTTCCAATTGTTGAGAAGCTGGTGCACCTGAAATGGGAGCGATCGCGAGGCAGAAACAAACACATTGGCCTCAATCATGTCATGAGGTAGTTTACTAGTGTCAATACTCAAACCGTCCATAGGCCGATGTACGTGTCAATTCATGCCATTGACAACGGTGATAGTTCGCGAAACTATGCAAACATTTATGTACACGAATGGATCCCTCACCACACTTCCGAACGAAGCACAAACATATATATAGACATCCAGCACACCTCACCTTCACAGCCACGTCCTCGGCGTGGACCAGATCGAACGCGCGCCACACCTCGCTGAAGCCACCCTTGCCGAGCAGATTCAACAGAACATACCTTTTCGAAACATATCGGTGGGCAGAGTGTAAGGTCAGGCGCGGGAGGAGTCGAACATCAGATTTCACGCAACAAACCAGACCAATCGCGATGTCCCGTATAACAAACTATGGCAACGCTGTGATAGCGATCACACCACAGCATGAATCGATCACACCACAGCATGAATCGTGTGTATGCACTCCGCAGCGCATATATAGTCGTCTCAACCGCAATCCCGCGCCATGCCTTCCACAGCAAGTTGCATTTGCAAATTTACCCTGAGGTATTACCTTCCGTTGAGGGTAGGTCGCTTGGCAAACTTGGACCGGTCTTCGTGCGCCACCCGCTTCAGTTCGCGGATGTGCAGCACTTTACGCGCGTCCAAAGCACGCTTCTCCTCCTGTTTCAAGCGAAATCGACACGGGTAACGTTAAGGGCGGGGACCTCAGCACAGAATGAGCAGCTGGAAATGCAATGGTGGCCGCTGCTGCCCATGACTGAAACGGGAGAGCTCGCCGCACAGCGTTGTCGTGCAAAATAGGGACGATCCAGACCGGGGGGGTGGCTGGCGTTGACCAACAGCGGAGATACGCAACAAGGCTGCTCACTGCTCATGAGGAGACGCACCTGCAGCGCCACTTCTTCGCGCTTCAGTGCCGTGAGGTGCATTCGTACGGTCTCCTCTTCTTCGATGGCCTCTAGCCTTGCCTGCCCGCTGAAAGACCCATCTCCCGCCGCAGGCGCAGTCGATCTTAACAGCCTTCAAGCGCATGCGACAATAGTAAGCGTGGCAATAAGGCATATGACTCAAGCAAAAATATGTCCATGTATCTTCGAATGGAACTGAAACGCAAAGCGCATCGGTCGCGGGCATTCCCGGCGAGCCAATCCTTCGCGTGCCAAAATACATCACTTCAAAGTGGAGCTGTTCTACAACCATTTGCCAACTCGAAAGACACGGACAACTACGTCGACACAAGCACTGAACCACGCTTCTTAGAATCACGACACCACCACGACTACGGGATACGAAGCAAGCACCAACCTATTTGCACACTCACTTTGAGACAGCCCTTTTCCTTGCCTCGAGCTTGGTCTTCCTGGACATCATAGCCGCCGTCTTCTTCTCCACTTCCTTGAACGATGTTCCCTCTTCAAAAGCCTCGACATACTTGCCGATCTGGAACCAACCAAAGTTGGACATCAACACGCAATGCCACCGGCGCAAAAGGGGTCACGCGAAGAAGCCGTGAGATGCACCAATCAACGGTAGTTGCCAAACTGAAGAAATATGAAAATCGTGTCATCATGCCGCGCACCCCTCCAACATGCCATGTCCTGCCGCTGTTGTAGGCAACGACACCGACGGCAAGAACGATGGGTTTCAAAGCCTCCTCCTCTTGACAGGTTCGTGAACTCACATGCCCGGTTTTGACACTGACGATCTTGCCAAGGTCCAGCATGTCCCTCGTCAGTGTTGCTCTGGAGTCGCTCGCCTCTTGCGCGGCGACCTAAGCAAAATAACACCCAAGAAACACGTATAAATTTAGCCAGAACGGCACGTTGCTACTTGGGATGTGAACGGTTTGGTCTCGGCGTCACTCGACCCCGGGCGAAAGACGTGAGGCACCCCAAGTTGGGATTACAGTTGCCTGGTCAAGTATATCGTTTGCAGCGGCGATGTTGACTGACTATCCGCGCTAACGGTATCCGATGCGTGTTGTTTTTTTAGCAAACGTTTTCACCTTTCGCAGAAGCCCTTCTACTACAGACGTGAGCTGCTTCTTCTGCGCCTCTTCATCCGTCTCCTTCGCCTTGAACTCGTCCATCGTTCTTTCCAGCTGACTTCGGAGAGAGTCGGCCTGCAGAGCGTGAGAGACGACGGCAAAACGAAACGACATGCAACGACCCACGGCATTCCTAAGCACATAATGAGCGGCAGGAGTCGTGGCGTAATAGATAAAGGGTCACGACAGGCGACGTACATACCAGGGACGCCGTCAAACACACACAATGCTGTGGCCAACCCACCATTGTTTCCATGCTTCCGCGCTCGAGATTTGCCCTTGCAAGTTCGTTTCGCAGCTCTCTCTCGACCGATTTGGCTTCCCTCAGCCTGTCGTGCAACTTCTCTAGGCTTTCTTGCTCACTGCCAGCCATTCCGGTGTTCGCGCCAGCAGCCCTCTCCATCCCTCCTCCTGCTGGGTCTACAGCTTGTCCTCGGCTCTGGGCATTGACTTGTTGAGCTTGATCCACACCTTGATCCCCCGCCGATGGCGCGGTGTGCGACAATCGATGGTGCGGTGCCCTCCCATCCCCCCCCCGGACAGTTCCCGTTGAGCCACTCCTGCCGATTCGTGCGATCGGCTGTGCAAAAGTTGGTTCACCACGGTAGCTGTCCCCGTCGGCACCACTCAGATCCACCTCTTGAGGAAGCCCTGACGCGGCACGCATTTGCCCGGCGGCAACTTCGCCCGCTCCGTAGCTGGCGGCGAGGTTCTGCACAGCAGTGCCATTGGAAGGCTTGAAGAAGTACGACTGAATTGTCTTCGATGCCGCAACGGGCGGCGCCTGTCCACTGCCTTTGCCACTCCTTTCAGCACTGGGTGGAGAAAAATCCGCACCTTGTGCCGTGCTTATCGTAGAAGAGGGCGGGGCAAAAGTAGTGTCGCCGCCCGTGGGCGGATCGGACGACGTACCTGCCACGGTCTGGTGTTGTTTCGACCCGTCTGGATGATCCGACCGGTGGTTGGTTCGATCTGACGAGGCGCGGCCCCCTGCGACATGGAAGGAGGTGGTCAGGCGGGTCAGCGCGCTGTGCCACGAAAGTGCCATAACCATAAATTGAGGGTGCAGCAACCGGCGGCGTGAGCGCCTCCCCTCCAACAAGCTAGTGGGGCTCCCGCTAAAGTGAGTGCCCCATCAAGCGCGGTACTAGATACTAGTTGCACGAGCTCGGAAGACACAGCGAGGCGCGCGGTCATCCAAGGATCTCATATACCTGATTTCCCAGGAGCCTGGTTGTTTGAAGGAAAACTAGTGCCCTCTGCACCACGGGAGCCTCGCCTCGCATGGAACTGCCCTCCCTTCGCGCCGCCGGGCACTGCCCCTGTCCCTGTCCCTGTTGCCGGTGCACGGGCTGGCTGATGATTGCCTTCGCCTTGAGGCAGAGAGAAGCGAGGCGGTGGAGGAGGCGGAGGAGGTTGAAGGGTACCACCAGTGCGTGCGCGCTTCAATCCAGGCCCATCGTCTCCCGCCCCCTGGGAAGCCTGACGAGCGCTGTTCCAATCTCCACCTTCTCCGGGGCTTGTGCTCAACGTGCTTGGAGTCCCGGCATTTTGCGAGTGAGACGGAGGACGAGGTGGGCTGAAGCCATCAGCTTCGGCGGCAGCCTGTGGCAAAAGAGGCCAACAGCGCAGGGAACAGAAACCGTGTGTCGGTTGCTGATGTCTCAAGCAACACGGAGAGTCACGAAATGCTCGCATCTATCTATGCATACGGGGATAAATCAGGGCTACCAAGGTTGTGGAGGGCGAGCCCTGAGACCATAAATTGCCAGTTCCCGACTCGCCTTCCGTTTTCCACCACTTCCATCCTTGATGGGGTCCGTTGGGGGCTTGCTGCCCCCCCCTCCCCCACCCCCACCAGGCGAAATCGCACTGGCGCGAGGTTTGGCAAACCCAATCGTGGACCTGGATGCAGCGACGCCGAGCGTAATAGGCGTGGCGACACGCGCGAAAAGGTCAACTTGACCATTTGGAGCAGTGCGACATCGGAAATTTATACAAATGGCTTTCATCACAACTGCTGTGAATCTCAGACATCATGCTGACCGACACGCCTACTCATGTCACCCACGAAAGCCAGTATCTCGGGACAGAACAAGCTGTATAACGTCGCAACGAGGACAACGCCGGCGTCTCAGGCTCGCTGCGCGCCGTCTGTCCCGCCCACCCGTAACGATAGGTGTGCCTCACACCTCACACGCGCCTCTCTTAACTTTTTTTATTTGTTTGTTTCCGTGTCGCTCCTCCATGTACATGATCAACTTGTTACTACGGGTAGAGGGCCGTAATGACAAAAGCAACAGAGATTTTCAAAAGGCAGATTACGGGAGGAAACCGCAACCTACTTCACCATTGGTGTAGGCGTAACTTGTACCTGAGGGTCTCTTGGGGTTACATATCGAAACACCGCCATGCCGAGCCGGCGAACGTCTTCTGCAGCAGCAGACTATGGTATTACAGTACTGCTGCACGGGTGAGAGTCGCACACTACCACAGTTGTATGATAGATAGCACACAGCGACCATTCTAGTCCACCATTTGAACGAGAGAAGTTCTGAGAGCGAACAAGAGCTGAAGCACCAAGCCGAGTGGCTCACATGGAGTTGCTGTTATTTTCGCTGCCTCGACTCCCTTCGTTCGGCGGTAGCGACGCATCCCGAGACTCATTCCCAGCCCCGACCATGCGGGCTTCCAGCAGGCTGAGCTTTCGAAGGGTCTTGGAGTCATTCGCCGCTATGGCCGGGAAATTGTCCATGGCTAACCCAGAAAATTCCATCGAGTCCGAGCAGCGCGCTAACGCCTGAAAGGCCGCGATCCCTGTTCAGTTGGGAATGCCGGCGGTAGTTTACTACGTCTTTGAGAAAGGGGAAGGAAGGGCGGCACGCAAGTGGAAGGGCGTCGCAGTACTGCTGTACGATGTACCTACTTGTACCTATTGAAGGAGGGCACCAAAAGAAAGCGCATCTTATTTTTCGCGCTTTCACAGGCATCAAATTTCAAATTTTCAAAGCCATGCTGCACGGCACTACAGCGGTACAGGTCTGTACGCGAGTATTGTCGATATTAAAGCGGATTTCCATGCAAAGTGTGCTTGTTATGGTGGCAGCAGTCTCGTGTGGTCTTCTTCACTCACTGACTGAGAATGGGACTGGAGATCGATTTGGTTCCCTCTCTTGTCGCTGTCTCCGTTCGGAGCTCGTCCTACGGATTACGGATGTGGGTGTGGGAAGTCGAGTTCAAATACTTACAAATGTACACACATGGCATTTCCGTGCGATCACCGGTGCCCGTTCGACTTAAGGACAACTGGGTGTGCTGTACCAGCAAATCCTCACCTGTAGTTGGCCTCTGCGGGCAGGCCAGGCAATAAGGGTGTGTGGAGGTTGTTGGGTGTGGTGTTTCGTGTTTCGCGATTGTAGGGGGCTGCACTAGCTGGACTCCCAATGTGACTACTGGAGGGGGGTTGGAATTCTCCATTGTCGCGCCCCTTCGATGCCTTCACCCTCTTCACCAGTTGAGCACTCCAGCACACCTTCGCCCTCTCCTCTCGTTGCTATTGGCAGCACGCGCAAACACACGGCAGGCCGACTTTATGGAACCCGAGGAGGAACCTTTGCATAATATAGGGGGAAATGGTGATGGGGAAGATGTTGTTGGTCGACCTGCGGTGCCTCCTCGCGAAGCAAGTTCCGACGACCCATCTCCAACCCGCAACGGGAGAAGCGCTCGGCGCACAAGTTCGGTCTCAAAAACAGCAGGACCGCCGCCATACCGATCTCGTAGTGTCGCGACTCCCCTCCCAGCGGCGTTCCCTCCCCCTCCGAGGGGTCGAGTCGCCATAGCAAACGACGGCGATGGCGATGAGGAACCGAGTAATGGCACATCGCCAGAGATTGATCAGTCGCGCGTTTCCGCTCAGGGGCTGGATGTCGGACATGAGCTGGAGCTGTCTGTTCCGTCCCATCAGGAGCATTTGACGGCAGACGGGCAAAGGTGCGCGCGTGATGTTGCGGCGCTCCTCAATGTGCTGTAGCAATAGTATGTACCTTTTCCGATATCTTCTGAAAAGGTACAAGTTGCAGGAACGGGAACAGCGCGAGGTACGAGCGATTCGGCAGTGTTCTGATACAACCTGTAGAATAGAAGTACATCACAACGTCTGCAAACCAAGATCCGTGTCAAGCGTAACCTTCTCATCGCTAGTCTACAGCAGTAGAGTATCCCGCATCATTTGCTGACGAAAAAATAACGAACCGCATCGCTATCCCACAGCGGGAGAGGGGAATGAGCATGGTCGCTGCTCGCACAAACGAATCACCCTCGCAGTTGCAACAAGGATAATTATGCATACAAGTACAGCGGGCGGAGAGATTCTACAACCTGCCGTTCTCCGAAAGAGATTCTGCGTGCGCCGCGCGCATCGGGCATCCATCGGACGGTGCATACAGCTCTATCATGATGCCCGCCGTTGTCGAGTTCTATAACCTCGTTTTTTTATTATGTGAGGGAATTAATTGTAATACTGCACATCCTTGGATGATGTCGGTACTGCTGTGAACCCAGGCAGATTACAGGGTTCAAAAATGATGTCAGTCAGCCCATCATCAGCACCTGCGGAGGTACAGATAGCAAGGGGAATACTGCACCACATGTACAATAGCTCCCTCGCATTACAAACCAACAGCAGTAGAGAGAGATGCCTGGCAGGTTACTTTTCCATGGGGCGGCTCCCCATATTTATGACTGTTTTCAATGCGCGTCTTCCCAAGAATATAGACCCTACAGCAGTAGCCTAAAGGGGTTGACCGTACAGACATTTTTCTACATGGGTGAGTCTCTGGATAATGGTAAATCCCTTTGGGTTTTTCCAGGAATTCAGGGTTGTTTCCCTTTGTTCTGCTTCTCCACGGCTGATGGCCTTAACGGTATCGTTCACGCTCAATACCTCGATTATTCGTACTACCTTGTCCGGGACACGGCGACATCGACGCCAAAACACGCAACTGGGCTATGTTGTACACACCTCGCCTAGAGGGAGCATCGCGCATATCGAACCAGATCTCTTAACCGACATTTCTCTTGACCCCACGGCGTGAGCTTTAGAATCACGACTGCTGTTGTCATCTCACGACACTCTCACACACCATGAAACGTTGTCCCAGTTCAGTGGGCAATGAATGGTTGGTTCTGAGGAGCTGTGGCAACGCGTACCTGGCCGTTTTTTTCTCCGTTTGTGCCCAATCTTTGGCGTAGCTGATCTCGACCTTTAAGACCCATCTTTATTTTAACACAAAGTTTGAGTGAAATGTTGATATGGGGCCAAAATTTGCCATTTTCACGATTCACCGGGATTTAATCTTCCGAAAAATCTTGGCCAAAATTTGTCCGGGGCTAAAAGGTTGCCCTTTCGAACAAATCTTGACCCGAAGATTTGTCTTCTCAAGCTTGTTGGACAAATCTTCGAGCGGGCTGACAAATCTTGGTGGGTGCGGCGAGATTACCACAGGTCAGTCAACCTTATCGTCCATATCGCCATGAAATCTGCACGTGGCACATTCGCAAGGGCCTCTAACGCACCCTGGCTTTACTGTGTCGACGCCAGGGGCGCCGACATCGGAGAAAAACGATCAAGGCGCGCGAAAAAAGTACATTTTTGCCCTGGCTTGTGCCGCGTGCGTCGTCAACGGAGAGCACACATCTCCAACTTGAGAACAGACACCGCCGATCACATCGTTCTCTCTCGGACGTGAGGTGGTTGTAGGGTGCTTTTATTCAGAGATAAAATCATCGCTGGTGACACGAACGTTGCTTCATCTGTGGAAGGACCGTTCAAAGAGTACTCTATTTTCAAGTAGAAAAGAGAACCGTCGGAAAAATTTCGACAACAGGTCAGTCGTGTGCAAAGCTTCTACCTCCTGATCGAATCGCCCCACACGCAAGCCGTTTGCACCCGAAGCAGATCCGTGAGTCCAGATCACGGCACCGAAGGTTTCACCTCGGTACGCTATTACGTACACGGGGTCATCGCCTCTCGGGTTGATGCACATATTTGGCCGTTGGACCAAGTCGGACAGCAAAAGAATATTTTTTTTTCTCCGCCTGCATGAGACCGCGGGTAACGTCGCCTCTTGTTGCACCCCAGGTGGGCGCCCACCGCTAGTATCCACCCGTAGTGTTGAGGTTATACGGCTATGGGAGGGACGGCGCCTTCTAGTACTGCATCGTACTCACTATTCATCTTGATCAAGTGGCACTTGCGCTTTTTTTCAACTTCAAGGAGGCAAGACGAACAACACGCCGCCTTTTCGACATTCCCCATCATTCCATTCGCCCCCCCCATATTTTGCGATATCGTACTACATATCTTGTGGGACATTTCTTGCGAACAAATCTTGCCAAGATTTTCCCCGAAGATTGTGTCGACATAAGGATGGGCCTAACGTCTCTACAAATGTACAACATTTGCATTGCACAGCTGCGACCAGCTACGCCATGAAGATTCAAAGCTGCTGCGAATGGAACTATGAGCGCAAAAACTGCTCCCTCCCAAGGTGTCTTGCAGTATATGGTGCTGAGCGGAAATTTTTCAACAAACGAGGGGTCTACACCTAGGATCCGGATCTAAGTCTGAAGTCTCTGTACCGTCCCAAATACCGTTCAGAGAACCCCCAGTTGTTATCGTGAATGGTTTCTTGGCCTTAGCTAAACTGGGTTGCAATCATATTCTTGCCGCATACAAGGATACAAAAAAACACACGTACAGACACGACAGGCAGGCAGCAAACAGAGGTCGTCGTAGAGCACTCTATTGCTATCGAGGTACAAAGTACGCCAACTATTATCCTTGGCTGAAACCGGAGTCCATCTCGCACCGTGGCCGCTTGTTTCTTCGCCAGGTATACCACATATGAGGTAATGGTGCGGATGGGAGGACGCCAGTGGAGCGTGCGGAAACGTTACTCGCAGTTCGATCAATTCCGGATGGTGGGTCAACGTTGACGTTTCTGCACCGTCAGAGTTGCACGCCACCAATACGTCGTTTGGCGAACTTTTCTGCTGCCTACACAAACAATTACCGTTGTGTTGTGGTCTCGCCCCAGTCGCCTTTTCTGATCGGAAGGTCGAGGCATCCCGTTTGAAGGCGATTTATCGCAGACGAGCTTTGTGAGTCGCGGCTTGCACTTCGCTTCATGGGATGATCTTGATTCCTTTTACATGTTCAAGCATGTCGCTGAGGTCAACCGCGCTGCCTTCTTCCCCATTTCCGACCTCGTTGGCGTCTTTGTCGCCTGCTTACCCGATTTTTTTTCATCTCAGTCGCTCCGAAAACAGCACAAGGAGGTAGGCTCTTTCCGGTTCCCGCACAAGTCCAAGTTTAACACCTTTGCCGAACACACCAAGGTGAGAGAGAGTGATTTGCGACTGACGGAAGTTCGCCCATCATATGAGCTACGCAATACTTGGATGATGCTTTGGGGAGGGACCTAGCAGTTGGAGGTGCTTATCTCACACTCCTTTTTTCAGCCCCCCCTCTTCTTCGTGTTTTATAGATATCCCCGTACCCGTGCATGCAATCGTCCGTATTGTCAGGAACGGCGAAGGACAGGGTTCGACGAATTCCTTCGACTCGTGGTGAGTTGCAGTTTCAGGAGGGCGCCGGTTACGTGTAGGAACTCGATTCACTACATTGATCGAGATTCCAAGCGCTGGCTAAGAACACGCACATGGTACTTCCCCCAAGGCAGGGCCGAGCTAACACCGCTGTATCGCAAAACTACAACATGTGGGGGGGCTGAATCAAGCGTCTTCCCTTTGCAAACGCATGGGCTATTCTGTTCGCCGGGTTGACCTCACCTAGGCCAATCTTCACCCAAGGCCGGAGGAAGTGGACGTGTTCTTGGCGATGGACGAGCATGGAGCGGGTGTGCGTGGAAGGCCTGGCAGCCGACCATTAGCCTGGACTAGCACGAAGACTTCCCCGTTAAACCCGCCCCCCGGCCCTGGTGAGAAATCGTCTTCTTTTGCTTTTGTATCTATGGCAAGATGGGCAGGAGATCAGAACGTCACTTGCGCAGATCACGAGCTGATTGTGTTACAGCAGTGTGCGCATACCGTAGCCAATGCCGTTCACCGTTGGTCCAGTATGCAGAGTGACGAGCGATTTGCGTATGCTGGGAGTTGCTCTCACCGACCTCAGATGCCACAAGCCATCCGCCACGTTGACGGCAAAGACACATGACCCTAAGTCGTTTTTTAGTTGAGTGTTACAAGTTCGCACCCTGCCATCTTGTGCACAGCGTAGCAGCATAAATTCATACGTTTTCATCGCGTGCTGAGACCACGTCTTACACACACAACTGCCCTGTCTCGGTTTCCAGTTTTCCCGAGCCAGCACCGAGTAAGCCTTCAGACGATAATACTATTTCAGTCGTCTCCAACATGTCTGTGCTTGATTATTTCTGCTATTCCGTTCGTGTCGAATTGTTTGGCACGTGTGTATTTGCGTTCGGAGCGCAGCTCTCGGGCGAGTGTGGTCAGGGAGCGGACGTACGAACGGCGGGAGGCGGTTGGCCAGTGGTTCGGGGGTTGTCCGCAATCCCAAAGGGGGTACTGCACACCGCATCCCACGGTTTCCACCACTTGCCGATCAGGTACTGCACCATTTCCGCTTAGAGAGCACTTTACCGCCAACACTCCGCACGACGCGCACGTCTATTCACCCTCCTCCCCCCCGCCGGACGTTCGAATGGGCCTAGCTCCCCTCCGAACCGGTCGTCGCCAACGACCTGCCGCCATTCGCACGTGATTCCTTAACCATACTCGCCCACGTCTTTTACATTTAGGGGCGGAATGAGAAGGCCGCTGAGGCAGCAGCGGCGGCAGCGGTGGCGGCGGCAGCTTCGTCATCGAGAAACGGGCTATCCGGGGTAGTGCAGCAGGTGGGGAACAGAGAAAGGTTCCGGGTGTAGAAACCGCTATCCATGCGGGCGACGGAGGGAGGGCATTTTGTGTGTCGTTGTGCAACCTTTGTTGGGCCCAGCCAGTACCATGCTTCGGGAAAGTGATTGTTTTTTCCATCGCTCGGCCTTGCGTCCTCATATTGTACGGTGAGCGCTATTGTTGAGCAAGATGTGAACCTTCCTATTTATTGGTGTTGTTGCCTAGGAGTTCAAGACGGAAGAGCCCCGCACTTATTCCGTACGGGACCCGCCGTGTGAAGATACATTGTGGAACAGAGGTTTGTTGCCTTCTCTCAGGAAACAGCACCTGTTCTCGAGTATTGGCGTGTACCATGACATGGATGGAAGTTTGTTCAGAATGCACTGACAATACTTCCCCGCGCCTCGCGTGTTGTTCGTTCGCTCCTTGCCAATGGGTGCTAGGCTGATATGCTGCTTCGAAGAGTACTCGGACCGGACCTGTTGAGCATGCTGTGCGTGGTGGCTGTGTCGGCTGTGAGCACTGTTGGCGTGTGGAAGGTGATGCCGCTTGCTTGTCATGCCAGATGGAGAGTCTGTTGAGATGTTCTTTTTTCAGCGCACACGGGTGATCCCCGGTCAATCCTGAGGTTGGCCATGTTTCGTTCATCCTTTCGATCAGAATCCGTCAATTTTTGAAATTGTACATGATGTGCATGCCGCAATCGTGCCCTGCAGGTCGGAGGGAGCCCAGGTCTTGCAACATTGGTAATGGCTGTGGCAGTCGGGCTTTTAGTCCAGAATTGGGACAGAGGCTTAGATTTGCTGAACCTTGGCCTGGACCTCGTCAGACTGGACAGTGAGCACCCACCATCTCCTGGCAGGCGTAAGTGTTGGTTTTACCTTGTACGGGTAGCGTTGCTGCGACCATGTCTGATCTCAACCACCTCCGTACACTTGCGGGAAGGACCAGGCCGAGGTTAAACCGATAGCTAACCCTTTCCATCTTTGAATCGCTGCAAAACTCTCCCCCTCAGAACGAACGGCGTCCTACGCCTCCAGTCAAAGCGACAGGTCCCGGGCTGGATTGCGTCCGCCTGTGACTCGTCGGGAAGCTGGACGGCGATGACGACGTTCCATTTGGGACAGCGCTCGTCAGCAAGAAGTTGACGCAGTTCACGGTCCGTGTTTGGAAAACACGTGGAGCCCGTGGCAGCCTGCCAGCAACAAATGCTTGATTGGCCGTTCGGAGAGGAAACCGTTTCCCCCAAATGTGTTTTGCGGCCTCTTTTTGTTGTTGTCTGGTGCACACACCCGGTGGCGACGTCCACGAAGTGCATGTCTATCTAGAACCACGGCAGTGCATGTGTGTTTTTAACCAGTTGCGTTGATTACAAGGTAGAACGCAAAATCATGCTGTAAAGGTTACAGTAGCCTGTGCGGCAGGTTGGCTTTGTAGCTCCTGGATGGTTTCATGTAACTTCCACGTCAAGAGCTTTGACGAGGTGTAAATAAGTATGTTGCTGGGTGAATTTGATTGTCGCGCTGGGGATTGGTACTGCCTCGCCAGGCGTTGTGTAGCTGCTGTTGCTCTGTTGGTCTTGCAGAATGCAGAGCTCCAGCGGTGTTACGGATTGTATGCATACAAGTGTTCCCATGCAGTGATAGATATCCACGAGCGTATACCACTTCTAAAGAACAGCATCAGCTCACCATGCCACTTCCTACCATGAATATTGCCACAGAAACCGTAGCAACAGGCCTATATTGGTTCGGGAAATGACCCAAGCAGCGTGGTGCCACATACATGCCCCGCGCTCGGATCACTCACGATGGAGAGGCTACCCACACATAACCAGCCCCACCCGCCAAGATACCCCTTATCGCATGCACGTCTGTTCCGGGTGAGGTACTTACATCACTGCACATCTCTCATCGCATCTGTGCTGTTATTCTTTTATGTTAGGTCAGCCGAAGACTGTGATACCGTCTTGCACGAGGGCTACGGTGCAAATCGCAAAAATTGAACCAACATTACACGTCCTACCACGTTAGCATCGCGCAAATTGGGTCCTACACACTCCCAAGCGATTCATCGGATGGAGCTTGAAGCTTGAGTACTACTCCCAGCAGCAGCGCCGCCTTTTGCACCCCCTTTCCCTGCCAGGGCTTCTTGCGCTCCGTTTTCGCCTCTGCCGGCGGAAGTTACCGATTCACCGCTTGAGGTTGGGTCTCTACCCTTTTCTCGCTCTTCTGCTTCACTCTTCTTGGCAGCCGCATCTACTTTCGATTCTCCCTCGTCCTCGTCTTCCTCATCCTCGTTGTCGTCGTCGTTGTTCTCGGGCAACTTGACGGCAGCAGCCGGCTTGACGGGGGTGGTGTTCGTGCTGGTAGCCCTTCTCTCCAACTGCTCCCTCTTCTCCTTCGCTCTAGCGTCCACCGAGCAGCCGGGACACAGCCAGAAACCAATCTCTTTCTGGTCCTGTAGCGTTGTGAGCACGATTCAGGAAGGTCATTGATCGCTCGACGGCCGGTGAGCACAATCAACGGCTCTAAGTACCCTGCCTTACTTCATCGCTCACTTTGCTGCAAAGTGGGTGAGGCAACGCAACGTTATCTTGGAGGGAAAGCTTCAACTTACCACCATCTCAAGGCCAACACAGTGGTAGTGGAACCATTCCCCGTGTTCACAGTCCTCGTTGTCGCAGCCGATCTGTTGAGAGTCAACAGTGAAGTCGACACGACAAACGAGCAACATGGCACCAATATGCGCGCACAAAGAGGACAGGGTGAGGCAACAAGGAAAGGATTCAGGGGTACGGTGTTGTTTGGTGGAGCCGGCGTGCGGAAGCGGGTGTCCAATCTACATATATTCCCTACATTTTCCGGTGCAGCAGGTTGCCATCCGCAAGAGCGCAGAAACGAGGGGCGCCCAACACCAAAAGAAACCAGCACATTAGCATGTGAGTAATACAGTAGCGCACTCACTTAACATATGCATATGGCGTCACCCAAAACAACGTAAATTTGCTGGGCAAGGTTCCTCTCTCGAACTTCGACGCTGCGATATGCATGGAACGAACACAAACACAGGCTTGAGAATTTCCAAGCTCCCTCTCGCTCACCATGTCTCCCCAACCAACTTGGCGGCAGACGCAATAAACGGGCTCGTTGGTGCTGAGAAGATCGTTGCCCCTCACTGCCCCGCCAGCTGCCGCTCCCAACGCCCCAGCTCCGACCCCCCCCGCCAAGGCCGCGGCCGGGTACGCCGCGACCCCTGCCCTCGTCTGCGGCCCGGCGAGCCCTCCGGCCGCCGCCAACACCGCCGCAGCCGCCGCGGCGGTCTTCTTGTGCTGGAAATTCAGGCAGAGGTCCAGGATACAACCAAGAGCAGCATTTCGCATGATCAAGTGGTGTACATCGAGAATAACCACCCAATACCCAGGAACGCAAATTCTTGTTCCGTATCAACTGAATCCGCTGTTGTCGCAAGTTATGACTCAACTACACGTATGGAACGTTTACGTTTTCGTTTCCAACTACAATACGGTGTCACCAGTACTCCCGACAAGGACGACTCTGATACCATTGCATCGCTCACCACCTACCAGCACATGACACCGATGCTCTATGCATGTATCCAGCAGATTCTTGCGCAGTTCTAATGCACGACACCTAAATGCACCGGCGGGCAGGAGGGTTGTAAGGTTCAACAGCAACCTGTATATACCTCCGCGAACATTTCCGGCGCCAGAGATGGGATATCTGGCATGGCCCCATAGCTCTCCTTAACGTCCTTCTCCAGCTTGTCGATTTCGTCGTCTTCTCGTGGCAACACCAGAGTGCGGTGCAAATAGAGAAAAGAGTATGGGCAACCGATCAGAAGCGTGCGCCCCGCGTAAAACTACACCAACACCAACCGTGGCACGTGCTCAGCAACTCAACAGGCCTCTACCTGCACAAAGGTCAACAACGCGACAGTGTTCTCTCTCTCTCTCACCGATGTTTTTAATGCAGGTGTCCAGCGCACCGTACATCCTCTTGGTGATTGATACCTTCTCGCTAACGCTCTCGTCCACCTTTCGTCTCTTCTCTCGTGACTTCTGGAGGGCATCCTCGTCTATAAGGTTCTTGAGCTGTTCAGGTCGTGTCATCTTATTTTCGAACAAACACGCAGCCACATCAGGCAAACGGGAGCGAAGGAGATTCGCCAAGAATATGCGCCATGGCAGTTTTACAGAAGTGTACTCGATAACGCTTGCTCTAGGAATACAGAATACTGAATACGAAGGACATAACTCCTAACTCGGGAGTTGGAACGTTGGAGCTACGTCCATTTCGGTCTCGCCTTTGGTGTGTGGAGATTGGACAGACAGAGAGTTGTGCGAGCCGACTCGCCATAGATGTCGTACGCCACATGTTTTACTCGTCCAAAATCATTCCTTTGTACATGCCAACACCGCTCGCAGAGTCTACCTATCCATCATTTGGCTCTGCCTCCTCCGTTAAGGAGCTACGATCGGAGGTCACACACACAAGAAGTGACCTGACGTGTGCAGTGCATGTCTTCGTACTTGTATTCAAGAGGGATAGGTCAACTCGCTCCCGTTCGTCCACGATCTAGTTGAGTTCTGCATACTTACGGACGAGCTCTTCACGCTGGCATTGAACACAACATTGACCACCTCTAAGCTTTAGAGGGCATTTAGCAACATAAGGGTGCCCATAACACGACGCAATAAATCATGCTGAAAGCGAGTCCGCAACTCCCTCGGACGAAAACGGTGTTGCGAGAGCCGGGTCCTGTATCTACAATGTACATTGCACCGGTACCTGTCGGTATTTGGCCTTGGCCCTCTCGAGAATCTCTGCCTGGTCCCTGCTGAGCTCGGCCGTAAGGCGGTGTGTCTCTTCGCTCAGCGTAGCGACTTTCTTCAGGTCGTCCTTCAGCTCGGTCGGAAGGTGAGCGCAAATTGCCAAGAACTCCTGGTCGCACCAGGCGGATTGATTGCCAGAACGTCAAGAGGTCCAGCATGCAATTAGTTGCCAGCAGGACCTCGACGCTAATAGACATGCGAGTGGAAGAGTGATCCTGGGTTTGATCTTAGGAGTCGGGGACATCACATGCCACCGAAGCCCAAAGACTCTCATTCCTCCCTTCGGCAACGGTTAGACTTATCGGCGAAATCATACACCGTTGTCTCGTCTCCATTTTACTGGTACTCCACTTCGAGACAAACAACCGCAATGGGATTGCAACTTTCTATGACATGTTCCTCGCTGTGGAATCTGCACAGTGTCGAAGCAAACCATAGTGGTCGCGCTCAACTCAAAGCGTCACCGTGGGCATGTAGTAATCAGTTACATACACACGTATTCCACGTCCTCCGTTACGCTGAAGATACGTTCGCATGTGTGGATTCGACTTGCAGAACGCATGCCGAAAAATTGCTGGTTGTGTCGAGACACTCCGCCCTCAAAAAGGCACTGTTGCCATTTCACCGTCATATCGGCCAAGAACCACATAGACGATTACAGACACGTCTACCAAACGCGGCTTTACTCTAGAAGTATAACGGCCATCAGCTAAACGACAGCGTCGATTCGGTGTTTTCCATGGCACCCAACCCGGCAGGCCGCGTTTGAACACCCACCTCACCTTTATGCATACCCTGATGAGTAAACTCATATCTGAAAATATCCATTTCAACGTACGTATACATACAACATCGCAATAATACAACATCGCACACGTACGCAATCTCTCGAAACACACCACTGCGTCAATGATTCATGCCCTTCCCACGATCCTCAAAAGCAGTCACGTACGCAAGATGATCATCTCGTTGCGTCTGCTGTAGGACATGCTACGCGGGTACAACAGCAGTATTGACATTTGACATTCACCATTTTTTTCAAAGAGCTTGGCCACACACCAGCGACTGAGTTCTCATGGGCCCTCCGTTTCTGTCCGTTTCGGCTCTCAGCACTCTCACAGAGCTAGCTGTGTAGGTTCAGGTGGTAACCTCATCAAACCTTCTAAATAGCTCTATTTTTGCTGTAGGGTGTGGGTTCGAATCTCGCGGTTGTGAAAAATACCGGCCCACTCACAGGAAGGAAGCATGTCCGCACGAAGTCGAGGCTCAGGGTTTTGGAAAAATAAGGAAAGTGGCGGTAAGAAAATTAAGCTCAGCCGTCAGCACTACACCAAAACCTAAGTATGGTAGTGTAGGAATCGGCCTGCAGGAGGAGTACACTCAAAAATGTCGGTGATTCTTACAAGCGGGCCGGCACGGCTGTTGCGTGTACGTACGCATTTACTGCAAGCGACACATAGCAGAGGGAAGGGACGAAGGGACTGCTGAAACCTTCTTCGCGAAAAAAAATGAAAGCAAGCCCCGCAGAGGGAAAGGTGGGGTATTCCTCCTGTGTCACCCCGGCTGGCGCGTCAAAGATAGACTACTTCTTTACACACACAACTACAGCAGTCCGGCCGGAGTACTTGAGGAGTGTACAGCGAGCGGGTCAGCAGCGACATTATACACTTTAAAAAAAAAGAGGTTTGGATTTATCAAAGAGTAAAATTGCCGGAGGTATTTGTAGGTAGCCAAAAATCTCGCACGGCACGGCTACACTGGCGTGAAATTAAATTTGAGAGCGACTGATGTGCAGCAGAGTGGAGTTAGAGCAGTAGGCCTTCGTGAAGGGCACCGACTACGAGATGTCATCCATGTGTCAAATTCTGCTGTGAAAGACGCCCCGCACCTGTAGGTTGTCGCCATAGTCCATCAATGACTGCAGTTGGTAATCCGTCTTCTTCGGGATTACCGCTGCAGGTGCCGCAATAGGGCCCATGCTGCTTCGTTTTCCAGCTTTCACCATTGTTCTCAGCGTCTCTACGTGTGTTTGCTGGCCTGCTCCTCCTCCTGTGGCAACTGTGTACTCGCCGCGGACCATACTTGCGACCCCCCCCCCCCCCCCTCCCCCCAGTCCGTGTCACACGCAAGCAAGCCAGGTATCACATCCCCAACTACCCGACAGCCGACCAGCAGACAGAGCGAGACGACACCACACACAGCAACGGCAGCGGCGATCCGTGGGGATGGAAGCACGAGGAATTCGTGTGACACCTCCGTGAACCTTTACCATCATGGAAGGCAGAAGAACGAGCAAGCGAGGGCGTGCGAATCAGTCATCGTCCCGGCCCGTACTTGCATGCGGAGTTCTTCTGGTTTCGTTTGTAGTCGTTGAGCTATGGGTGATGCACCACCATGGCCCGACCCATCGACACCACCCGACGCCGCAGTACGTTGACTCCTACTCGAGACTACCTGGTGTAGTTTCGCCTGGGAAAGCGGAGGAGCGCGGCTCTTCGCGTCCGGGGGCGCCCTCGGTTCCGGACTCGATGAGAGCAGCCCGCTCGCGGACCGAAGATGATGAAGATGTTCCCGGAGAACCCAGAACAGAAAGACCAGCAGCACCGGCTGCGGTGGCGTGGGACCATCCGAAGAAGGACGGTGCTACCGTCGCATTCGAATTGCCACCACGCCAGACTCTGTCGGGATCGCATGATGGTGTGTCTGGCAGCGAGGATGAGGATGATGATGAGGGCTACGGGGATATGAGAGTGGCGGTGCTGATCCCATACTCGGGCCCCGGCCTCCCGATATGGTTTGATGCCTTCACGGACCTTGCGGCATCGAACAAGGACCTAGTCGACTGGCTTATCTTCTGCGAAGAGGTGGGCGAATGTTTTATTGCGGCGTCACTCTACACGTTTACTTGCGCCACTCTGGCGTTTGTCTGACCCACAGGGCTCTTACTGTTGGCGTCGTGCAAGGCTCTGTAACGTGCCGCACTTCTCGTGGATTCTCAGTGTACGCAGTACGCAGCGCCACGGAGGGATTACCAAGGATTCCTGCAGAATCTCTCCCGCAGGGTTGGTGCTCTATGGTTGGTGCATGCTTTGAGCACACACACGTATTATTCTCATTGTCGGCGTATCGTCCCTGTTTAGGAACCGTTTCGAGTCCACGTTTTTTTGCTTTGGGGCAGAGCCACTCCTATAGTATGCTTGTGCATGCAGAGAATGATCGAAGCACTACAAACACAGCGGTACCGACCTCGGCAGCGACGCAGCCTCTGTACATAGCTGAGAAGACCAAATTGTGCGGGGTATCTCGTGATCTCGTTCTCTCACGGACCCATGTGCGTCCTGTACCGCAAGCGCGATAGCAGATTGCTGACTTGCGTTGCTCCCAGAGCGCACCATGGAGCGTTTCCCCGAATTCCCGATAAAGCCTCTTTTCTACCGTGAGGAAGAAGTTAGGAGATACCAGTGGTATCCTGCTTTTGCCTATCCTGCTGTTCCCTAACGCGTGTTCCCTAACACGTGGGAGGACCGAACACGGCGGGGCCTCACCTCCGTAAGGAAAACTGTTATCCTTCACAGCAGCAGTGCATCCATCTTTTGCACCTTGGGGGGCGTACATGGTATATTCATATTTGCACCAACATCCCACAACATCCCCCCACCACCCACCGAATTTGAATTTCGGTCAAATTTCGTGCTTCACATCGTATGCTATATTTTCTGAAGGATGCAACTTCTTCGAGAGTACTACTGTAGATAGGGAGGAGTAATGAGCCGTGCGTTCGGCTCAATACCTGCTGTATCTGCGATCTGCGATGCTGTGTGTGATGGAGACTTCCTCCGCACTTCATACATCCGTACAAGGTCCCCCTGCGGGAGTTGGGTGATTTCCCTCCCGGGGGCGACGCAAGAGGACATGGCCAATCAATGCGATCGCGGTCGTATGGATGGTTGGTCTTCATGGCGTTCGGTAGTGCCGGCTTGCGTGCAACCTGAATACTTATTTGCCTGGAATTTGCATCATGTGCGGGGGATTTTGTTTTCTCCCGCCGTGACTCTTCGCTTGTGCGCGTGTGTCGTTCTAGCTAGCGGCGTCTTTGCTACAGGCCCTACTGCTGTAATCCGCTGCTTTTGATTACTTTCTCTTCTTGTGCGATCGTGTTTCCCATGGGTCGGTGGGAATTTTTCACGCAAACACCAACATTGGATCAAAGAGACGCTCAACGTGCCCAAGAACAGGCACAGCGGTAGACTGCTACGTACCACAACTTCTGTATTTGAATTTTTCGATTTTTCAGAATCGAAATTTACATGACCGCTGCCAGAGTTGTGCGAGAGGACTTCTGTGTCACGTGGTATGTTCCCATGAGCAACACCAAGAGTCTTGGTCCCCGCTGTGGGTACGCATGCGCCAGTTACTGTGTGGTGGTTGTGTACACAACAATCACAGCAGCTGTGTGGGCGCGTGGGCGCGTGGCGCGGGGCAAGGAAAAAAGTTCTGTTTCAGTTTTCATGCCGTTCGAGGAGGCTTTTATGGTTCGGATTCCCAACCCCTGAAGAAAGAGCCAGTCCCAGCGACGTTAGGTGGCCCTAACGCACCACCAGCGTCTCGCGAGCCCCACACGTAACGGGTATTATACCGACGAGTCCTCTGCGTGCCATACAGAAGAAAGTGCAAGAAAAACGCTGTCCCAGAGGAGAAAAAGGAATGCGAAGACGAAAAAAGTCGAAATCCTACATATGCATACAATTGTATCCGTACTGTATTGAGCGGATCTTCAAGACGGTGCAGGAGCACACACACGCTGTGACGCGCCGATGCTACAGCAACAGTGCCGCCAAACGATCAGCACCTAACAGCACTGCCGCCGGCAAAAAAAAATACACGTATAAATAGATGGAGCCCATCGGGCAGCGCGTGTGGGAAGCAGGTCGAAAGTGGCAGGAGCACAGCAGCTCCAAGAGACAGAGCCAGCTCGCTCTCTCGCAAGCACCGTTTGTCAACATCTCAGTCTCTCTCTGTCTCGCTTGCTGGAGGCGGCGTCGTATGCTTGCTTCCGTTGTACGCCGCCTATCGTTGTTCGGCGAAAGACGCCATCCCTATCGTTCTGAGTCCCACATGGCGATTGCGTCAACAGCACCAACCGCCTCAACTTCGCTCTCCGCTGCTGTTGTTGCTGCTGTGGGCAAGACCTCAATCAATCTATCCTGTTTTCACTCATCGATTTTTCCAACGGCAATAGAACCGCCAAGACTCTCCCTGTTGTTTAGCTAGAGAGCGGGCACCAGGTCTGCTGTTGCTGCTGTGCTTTCACCTATGGAAGGGATTGGACCACGGCGGGTGGGTGTGATTCTGTGGATGTGCTAGAGTTAGAACGGTCGGTACTCTACCTCTATATCTCCTGGTGGTTTGAATCGCGCGCGCTTGAAATTTCCGCTTTTGTAATCCGACCTTTCTTCCTGAACACCCGGGGACAGGGTGGGCAATCTCCTATGAATTTTGGGCACAAAAGCCTGTGAAGCACGGTCATCTCTCTCCGGAGCACGACCAAACCGGTGTGACGAAGAGTGCAATATTATTGTCCCTCCTTTGAAGCGAAGAGATCGTAGATCGGTGCCCTGTAGATCTCGGTCTGGTCCCAAAGGTGGGCTATTTAGGCTTCGCGGAAATAAAACTTTGGGGACCCTGTACCACGCGGCGGAACAACAAGCCGATATTTAGAGCCTGTTTTTTCCCTTCCCGCCTGGGACGGAGGGAAAAAGAACGGTCGCCCTTCGCGCTCCGCGGCTCATTAAAACTTCTGAATCAAAATGATCAAACATGCCTGCTTGCGGAGAGATCACCATTGATGATGATAGTCATGCCAGATTTCTATACTTGGCAGCGTGCACACGCGATGGATACAGTAGCCCAACAACTGGTTGTGTTGAGGCCTTGGACATGGAGAACTAACCCCCTCGGTAGAACGTTTCACCCAGCCATCGAATTGAGGATGGCACTATTGCATCCACGAGCACACTGTCGTTACCACACCTTTGAGGCAAAAAGCCGCCACGTATGTAATTCGTCGTGTTTTATGTTTTTCGTGGCCGATCGGCATTGGTTTGTTCGTACGGGAAGCAGGATTTGGCCCAGGTGAACACACCTCCAAATGTCCGCATGATCAGTACCTCTCCTGCAGAGCTTGCCTGGATGTTGGCTGGGGTGGTGTACCCGGCCGATGCGGACGAACGTCCCGATGTATATGTTTCGGATTTCCACACGGCTTTGATGGGGGACCTCACGGATCTTCAAATGCATGCGAGGAATGTCCGCGGGACGGCTGCAAGGTTCATCCAGAAGCTTCTTGCAAAGGTGTGGCCAGTGGAGCGTGTTGATGTTCTGAAATTAGAAGAGAAGAAGAGCAGCGCTACCTTGTACCCGGTTGTTCTCAGACGTTTTCGGGAAGCAACATCAACAAGTCGCCGTGCACAATTAAGTTGCGAGACATGACACCGCAGTACTTTGTGCATTCAACACGCTCACCGTACCCACGTCGCTCACCGCTTAATTGGTTGTGCCTGTCCTTTCGGCCATCTGGACGAAGAATCCTTACTACATGGTGGAGTTCAAGCCGGCCCTGGGTTGGGTTTTCCGAGAGTACCTGAAGGATTATACGCACTGGGCGTACGGCGATCTTGATGTGTTTTTCGGGGACCTGACAAAAGGCTGGTTGGAGCCCAGTGAGATGCGAGACTACGACATCATCACGTACAGGTCAGTGGGGATATGTTGCATTTTCCTACGCGGCGTCATTCGTGTATGTGTCGTAGCTCCTCATTTACCGTGCCATTCGACATTTTCAAATTGCTAATATTCTGAGAAAATTGAGTCTTCGTCGGCAGCTGATTATCGGACCGCATCTGACGCACACTCGATTGTCGCAGCTTCGGGGACCAGCAGCGCGCATACTTGAGAGGCCAGCTGACGGTGCACAAGAGCATCCACAAGGTCAACCACATTTGGCGGGGTTGTCCCCATTTGTCCAACTACTACAGGCGGATCGAGGTAAGGCTATCGCGCTTAGGATCGTGTTGCACCTCATTGCGTAGGGTAAACTGCCGTGGGTGGCAGACGATTGGGCACGTATGGCAGAACGCGGCCCGTGCTCGTCTGCGATTGATAGTGTGCCTTTTTCCTTTTTTGCGTCCTTGCGGCAGCTTGGTTTTTCCATCCGTGGTGTGTTGGTCAGGAGAGTAGAAGCCTGTTGCACGTGAGCCATTTCGCTTGTGTGGTGATGTGACTCTGGTCTTGTCGTTTATTTGTTTTGGCGTTGATTGCGAAAAGTCCGTTTGTTTGTCACGCTCGGCGATGGTTCACTACGCCACGTTTCAGAGGACAATGGAGACGAAGCAGTACAACCTCGAGAGCGCGGAAGGCTGCTACAGCATGGCCCTCATGTACTCCAAAGACGTCAAGGCCAAATATGCCGTCAAGGTACGCATTTCGTGCCATTTCATGAGCGGATTGCTGCCCAAACAAGTCAACAGACACCGGAAAGAGACCGGGCAAACTTGCGGTGGTCTATCTCGCATAGGACGTGGATCTCGTATTCCCGTATGCCCGGCCTGGTATGCATGCGTTCACATTTTGGATCTGTCCAATGAATGCCACGCGGGGCGATTGACGTGACCCGTTCATGTGGCGAGATGCAGGTTTTCACCGATATGCCAGGCGGTAAACAAGATGATCAAGAGGAGGTTGTCATCACAGGGGATGGACTTGTGAAGCGCTGCCCGCAACAGCAGGGGAGGAGAGGCGACGTGGTTGAGCCAGATTTCGGTGGAAAGATGCAGGTAATCATCACCAACATGAGGTGTAGTGTAAAGGTGTTTCCACGCATACCAATGCAACGTGTTTATTGCGCGCGTGCTACTAGTTTGTCCAGAGTGGAACACTCGCCTCGTCTTTTGTTGGGGATTGGGGGGGGGGAGTGGGGGCTGTATACCGAACCACCGTAACTGCTCTAAAAGACATTTGACACAATGTGTCGCACGCGTGTATTTGTAATTGTGGCGGGCCCTGCATGGCACAAACTACTCAGGTATGTTCATTAGCAACTAATGAGCCCCCTGAGAAAACGCGGACTACAAGTGTAACCGTTTTGAGTCATGCTTGTTATTCCCCTGTATGAAATCATTTCGTGTTGTGGTTTGGGCAGGTGGATAAGGGCGAGTACTTTCCGGTGGAGACGGAGGAGCAGGGCTACTTTTGCGAGTACTGGATAAGCCCCAACTTCCAGACGTGCCTGAAGCTGAAAGAGTCTCTGACCAAGACGAACGTCTTCCTGTTGGAGGGGCGGTACTACGAGCGAGGTGGGGGAGTCTTGCATCTCTAGAGTCCGGTCAAGTTCGCAAGCACCGTTAGAGCATCATGGGAGAACTGCCATTTTTGCCGCAGTCCACGACGATGTGCCTGTGTCAGTGGCGTGTGTTTCGGTGTCTACGGCAAAGTGTGTGACAGAGGCTACTGGCATATCACTCGTGCAGCATACCCGGTAAACCGGGGGGTGGGGTTGCGAGTGCTGCGAAGCTAGAGTTTAATGTCTTCTAGCTCTACCAAGCTTTTTAAGTCGCCCAAATTCCATGTGCCGGCCTGGCTGTTTGGAACCTCTTATTAATGACCGGCAACCTCCAACCCCCAACCTCGCCGTTCTTGCTCCTTGACCACGGAAAGAACTGCTTCATCCACTCATCTGCAAGCTGGTGCTGTGCTGTGTTGAGAGGCAATGCTTCATCCACTCATGTGCAAGCGGGTGCTGTGCTGTGTTGAGAGGCAATGGAAAGGGAATACCAACCACAACCGCGTATGCGTGCAAGAAGTGAACGTGTTGTTGTCGGCGCCGCTTGTACCACTGCCGTCGTATTATTTCCTGGGCAGATTTCGTCAATTTGTGGCAGGACAAGGTGGAGGACGGCTGCAGCATGGGTGCTTTCCACCACTTTCAGGTGACGCACTTTGTGTGCTTGACATCACTCGATGTGTGTCTTCACCTTCACACACTGCCGTGCGCAAGCCTTGTGCTACAATAGATGGTCGCTGTCATGGGGAAATTGGCGGCCTACTTTGCGAGAAGGATGGTTAACGTGTTGCGGCGTTGGTCGACCGCTCCGTTTGCAGAAGAGCTACAGTAGTTGACATTCTGTGTCCACATCTCTTCTGCTGCTTGACACCCAGGAGCTCAAGGGAAACTACAGGGCATGGAACACCAGACCACCGATGTCGCCTGTACATAGGGGGATGGTGGCGGGGAACGGTGGACTGGTTCCGCTGCCGAACGGAGATTGGCATGCCATAACTTTGGACCCCAACGCTCCTCCTCCGGCGGTGCGTGCATTGCGAAACGCTGGTTATCTTTCCGTGGATAGAGGAGGCTCGTAGCCGTGTATATGGGTGCCGTTATCATAACGGCTCAATAACTATGTTGAAATTTTGCTGGTGCCGTGGTGCGGATGGGTGTTGCAGGAGATCCGTACTATTTCGGAAAAAATTGGGACGGTGCGTGGTTCGACTGACTGCATCGTGTGCCCTTTGGAAGCACAGGCTTCTCGTCGTAGGTCGTTCTTGGCCTGTGGGCTTAAAATTTGAAGCCTCTAAGCCTCTTTTTTTTTAGCCTTCCAAAGCCTTCACACGGTTTTGCGCTTTCCTGTCGCATGTCCCCGTGTCGTGCCTATATTACGGCCCTGCTTCCGTCGCTGTGGCGTTAACTGTGGGTGCATGCCAAACTGCAGGACCGAGAACGGTTTACATACCGGTACTGCTTGCAGTGGAGCGTTGAGAATGAGAGAACGAAGGAGGCGAAGTTTAAATGCGACATCGGCCTAACCCCTAGAGACGGGTTGAGAACTCTGCACGACTCTAGGCGGCGAGAGGGGTTGACCGGTGGGGCTGCGGTTACCCTGGGGGGGGTGGGGGGGGTCAGTGATGTCCCACGGCTTCTACGAAGCTGTCGCGATTGGGAAGGTCCAAAGGTGGGGCATGCGACGATTTGAGGGGGGGATAGGGTCTTTGTCGGGTGAAATCACGAAACGAAATTATGCAAAGAAGACAGATGAAGAAGATTGGGGATAAGGTTTTACTTGGTGTATAGGAGAAGACGGCACCACTTGTATGGCCGTGTCGCGATTCTTTTTTTGCACGTGGTTTTCAGTCGCCAAGCGAACTCAGAATGAAAGGAGCGGTCCAAAGTTTCAGCAGGCAACAAACGTATGGTGGAAGGTACACTGCTTGTGCGGTCGTGATTCGGTGTCTTTGCCTACTTCCTACAGTGCGATTGCTGAGCCCCCCTCCTTCCCCCCTCTCTCTTCCGTCGCCCTTCACTTTGCCACCTCCCAGATTATTGTATTGATGTTAAACAACCCACAGCGGGAAAGGGGCAATGTTCTAGATTTGATTCGCGCGGAGGAAAAGGTTGGGGGACTGGACAACGCTTACATTGTGTTTTTCTTCTCGCCGAGCTCTGGTGGCCAAGAAGTGAATGGTGGTCACCTGCCGACAAAGGCACTCCTGAACGCCGTGGGCGACTTGTGCCAAACAAGGTTAGTCCACATACCGAACGGCAAGGATTACTCTTCGTAGGTGGTAAAGTTGCTCGATACTGTGTCATCAGCCCTTCGAGTTACCATGTAGAGACCGTGTGGGCGTACGGTTCGTCGTCGTCATGGTCGTTCGTGTCCCGTGCCGTCCGCTAAGAGTGCCGACCACCGCAGGCGCTCCCCCCGCCGCAGGAATACCCTCAAGTTGCTACCGTCGCGCCGAATTGCGGTTGCCGCATGTGTAATAGAGAGCATAGAGTGTTGGGACCAATTGGGGCACAGCCGACAGTTGCCCCCGTATTCAGCGCAATCTGCAGTTTCTGTCTTTCTCTCCTCAATGTAAGGCATACAGGAGCGCATCACACGTGCTGTCTTTTTCTTGTTTTCCCGGCCAGGCATCTTCTGATACTTCCGTCTGACTTCCGCATAGCAAGAGGCGCCGAGCAAGCCGTAGTTACGGCCCTCAAGACGCCGACAGAGGCACCGAGAGTGTTGATAATCCCGCAGTGGTGTGTAGACCGTGATCATGAGCGTGGCTCCGGAGAGCTCCCAACCCTGGAGCTTGAAGACCTACGAAGGCAAGCTGCAGACGGCACCGCCGACCTGTGTTTCTCGGATGCACGCACGAATCGGGATCTATACCTCGGGGGTTCGGTTCTCGAAGGGGCAGTTTACGGCGAAGGAGCCGGGGAGGGGTTGGGGGATGCCGGTGCGAGACATAGCGGCATGGGTGGCACGAGGACGACGAAGAACGGACTGGCACTGCTACAATCGGACGCCGTGAGCCCCGTGATAGTCGTGGACATGTGGTCAGCGCCTGCGCTGTTTTTACGTCACATTGAGGTAAGGCGGGCTTTTGAACATTGCGAATGGCTGGCGTTTGCTTCGCCACTACATTCCATCGCAGCTGCTGATCGGAAGCTTGTGATATCATCATGAACAGTAGTGCGCCGCACGCTAAAGGTTATGCAAACGTCGTCCACCCGATTCAGCCGATCATCACAAGCTTCACCGCCTACCTGCGGCTACGATCGCGGTTTTGTGGAACCTGGCCCTCCCTGCAGAAAGAGCTTGACATGAGCGTTTTTTTATGCATACTCGTGTTGAAAGTCCACCGCCAGCTTTGAACGCGCAAGACATACCCCGCCCCGCCCGCGCACTATATTGTTGTCTTCAGGAGTTGAGTGGATCAAGATGTTTCGACGGCGCCTATGCGAGGGGACTGTGGGCGGCTGGATTTTCGTTCGAAGTTCTGCCAGAGGCCGCTGCCTTTAGCGCCAGTCTACCGCCAAGAACTGACCAATGCCGGCACGGAGTGATGGTGCAGATGGGTGCCTATAGCACGTTCCTTCAGGTACTATGATACGTTAGTCTTACTTGGTCTTGGGTCAAAGGTGCGGTGTCGGGAATAAGAGCGAGAATCCAGCTGAAGTCACTGTATCTATCCCACGAGCTAGCTACTCTTGGGAGACCTACGTTGTACAGAAGCTTCCGCCACTAACACACATAGTTGTTCATTAACATCGCTGTTTCAATTATTGGCATTTCGCGGCCCGTGTTGATCTGCCCGCCTCCAAGAAAACGGATTCGACGACTCACTCTACATGCATGTCTACATGTACAACGCCAACGTGGTCTGTATGGTGGGACACATAGCCCCGCCTTCCCGAACCTCTGACCTGAGCCTGCAACCGATCAATGACATCTTCACATATGAGGGCTCAGCTGAGGGCCATAATTGACGAGTTTCCCTGCTCGTTTCTGCACGACGATGACATGGATGTTTGCCCCCGCAGGACGTCCGGCGCGTCTATTGGAGAGAGTCAGGCAGTTTTTCCGATATCTTCCAAAACGGGCAATCTCAGGCCGAATATCGAGCTGAGGCGAGAGCACGATCGCGTCGCAGGGCGAACTCGCATCCATTCCATCGCCAGATGCACGATAAAGAGTCAGGTCAACAGGAATCGCCCGAACTTCCATAAAGCGAGCTGGCCTTGCAGAATGTGTAGTAGCCCGTTGTTAAGGGCGGGGTTCATTGCTACTATAGCTGTACTATTGTCGAGAAGAATCAAAATCCCGAATATGATACGTTCAACCCTTGAGCCCCAGGAGGACATCAATCGCGTTCCTATGTGGGGTAGAGTCTTGAAGTTGCCCATGTAGAGACGGCGAACAGTGTTTGCTCTCCCTGGTGTTGCTTTGTGATTTGGAATCAATCTCTGTCGCCATCTGGTGATCTGTCGTTTTCATGGTGGGCGCCAGCAATCGTTTGCGCTATTCAGAATATAGAGAAGGTGATAACGTTGGTCGGTTGTCCTCTTTGGAGAACAGTGCAATTTTGTTTGTCTTTGTCGGTCGCCCTCGTGCCTTTTTCGCGTGTCGTTTGTGCTGTGAGTGCGTTGTCGTTCGTATTGTTGTGCCGCTCCACCACAAGCTTAAGCGCGAACTTCACGCGCTTCTAGAATGTCTTTTGTTTGAAACGTGTGGTGTAGATATTGTTAAGTTGTGTGTCGCCCTGCTGAATCTGATCGTGCCTTGTGTGCGCATGAGGGCACCACTGCGTGCGGGAACGTCGCGTCTGTAGTTGTTACCGTTTCTACACTCGCTTATTATGGTCTGGCTGTGAGGTCTGGAAGGATTCTCCAAAGCTGGTAGATGTTTTTGTTCACACGCACTCTGTTTTGCAGTATTTTGGGTATTTTTCCACTTCGAAGTAAATTATTAAGGGTCCTTGTTGAGTTGTAGACTTTAATGTTGTGTGTAGTGGGTTTTTCACAGCGTGTCGAGAACCTTGGTGTGTACTTTTTGCGCGTAATCGTCGAAAAGATTTGTTCAATATTCAACATTGGGAGTGCGGTTGCAAGATGGCATGTTGTTCCAAACCGCTCGGCCCTACATGCGGCATTTGCGGCGTGTCCCAAAGCTATAGATGGCACGTACCAGTGCCTGGCGGAGTAGCATTGGGGGCTCTTGTATGAACACCATGATGGGGTTCTCTGATTTCCGTCAGGATATATTCCACCTCGACATTCTTTGGTCGCACGCACGGAGCCAACTCGAGCCTCGAATACTTAACAGTCGAACAAGCGGAGCAGCAAGCTGCCTGATCGGGAGTTTGCTTTAGCAATGTTTTGAGTTGAAAAAGCAATGGAATCGCCCCCGAAGTTAGTCGTTCTTGGGCAGCACCTCGCCGGGCCCGTTCGATCCGGGCATTCTACCGCACGCAACGGCAACCTACACTGCTGTAGGCCCGCTCTTGTGTACGAAAACGGTCTCCGCGCAGGAGAGGCCGAGATCTTGTGCATGCAGCTGCGCGCAAGGGCGGCCACGTCCCGGTGAGCTGCGATGAGGCTTTGTAAGCGACCAAGGCCGTGCTGCAGGAGAAGACGAGTTGGACAGGGCGATTGGAGGAAAGTTAACGGAACACGAGACGCACGAGTTTTCGGCGGAATGATATTAATTAGCGAATCCTCGCAGAGCTACGGAAAGACTTGATATAAAACTCAAACAACCCCCCCTACTAAGACAAAACCGCACTGCCAAATAAATAGTGTGTGAACAATGGCAATCGCAACTAGGACAGTAGCAACTTGGCTTAGCTCTATCTGGAGAGGAACAGAAGGTGGTCTTCCTTCTGAGAAATGTATGGTCAATGCTTCGAAACACGACAAAGGCGAGCGAAATCGACCATAGTCTACACCTTCCCACACACAATATTTTACACAGTGTTACATGTAAATAATGTTTTCCCTGAAGGCGGATCGGAACCACTTAGGTTGCCACCACGCCGTACTCACCGCCCCTCCTCGTGCTTTGTTGCGCCCCTGGGTCGGTCGTCGCTACAGCGGGGTTGTCGCTGCCGACGGGTGCGAGCCTGGGGCGTGCTTCTCGTGGTGCTCGTGGGACTTGCACCCAACCGCCTTCACCGCCGTTGGAGCGTTGGGTGGCTGACTCTCCACCACTTCCACTCCTGGAGTGTTGAGTGTTCTGCCGGTGAAAGCAACGTGTCGCAGAGCACAGCGGGAATAGTTATGGGGCGTTCCGTACAAACCTGCGTGAGTGTGCACTGAGACCCGAGACGAAGGATCATACGCTACGTATTGGAGGGAAACTACAGTGCGGTAAACGTTTTTTTTAGGAAATCTCCCTTGTCGTCGGTTGGAATTGCGCCTTACTTATATTTTAACCAATCTCCCTTCCAATTCCAGGTCTTTCTGGTCGAACAGGTCAGGCTCGCGCCAATTCACCAACTAAACTTGGGGCACCCTCACCATGCCGTGGCCACCAGCGTTTCTGGCGAAGGCGTCAAAGTTATCTACAAGTATATTTACGTTATCTGTTGCGGTACCTTTTTCTTCTGACCCTCCCCGTTCTGGAACTTTCGAAGTCTCTTTGCCCTTTTGGCGAATGCCCGTGCTGCTCTTGGATCCGTAAGCCCCCAATCACGCGCTAGGTCACTTTTAGCCCTCCTTTCGGGGCCGCCGCCACCTTCGCTGGCTTTGTCCCTTGCGCTCGCACTGCCCTCATCGCTAGTAGTCCTCTCCGCAGTTTCTCTATCATCGCTTCGCCCTGTCTGCACGGCTTGCACAGTTTCAGAGAGAATAGTGCTCTTGGTTGCGTGGCCAGTACCGCCAGTGCAGTACGAATCCAACCTCGTTCTGCTCGTCGCTTCCACGCCATCACCTCCTCTCGGATGTGGGCGTCGAGGTGTGTTGCTGACGGCAGCTCGGGCAGTGTCAATCGCACGGATGCTGGTGGCCTTCGCACGACTGGGAGGGGTTAGGTGTCGAGGAATGTTCTTGTTTCCTTGGGCCACCGCGGTTGTCCCCAACCAGCCGTCTCCCAGCTCCGGTGGGGGGGACAGAAATCGGTCAAGCTCGAAACGATCCCCTCCGTTGATGTTCAGAAGGCCCTCCAGTTCGTCGTCGACGTATTTCGCAGAGTCCAACGCGGCCTGTCGAGAAGAAGGTTGCAGGGGGCGCCTTCAGTATTGACGTGTGCTTCACTTGCTTCACCACAATTGTGAAGCACTACGTACATGGTGCCAAAAATAACTCATCACTTGGGGTTATGAACTTGGTTGAAGGATAAAAAAATTCACTCTCGTGCATGCTGAATCACGCGTGGGTTGCAGAACGCCCAATCTTTCCAAGGCTGACTTTTTCTTGATTTAGCGAGTTCACCTACATACAGTATTGTGTATCATCACGGGGGCGTACGTGGCGTATGCTTCTCTCGGTGCTTGAACTCGAACTCTCAATACCATCACCCCGCGGCACCGGTCGAAACGAAGAAAACATCATCAACCAATCTGTCACCTGTAGAGCCCGCCGCACATGGAAACCGCGAAACGCTGACTGTAGCTTTGTGACCGCCTTTTCGTTCGCTGGCCACGTCGTGCCGACGTCTTGGCGAACGCTCGGCGACGAAGCTACGAGCTGCGCAGTCCGTTCCTGACGTCGGTGCCAGAGCCGTTGGATCGTACGGGCCGCCCGAGTATGACGACGTGAAGAACTTGCCTGGCAACGGTAACTATTTTGGAAGACATCTGTGCCTAAGTATGAGTGATTGTACTGGTCCCCTCCAGGTTCCATAGACCCATGATCCAGCACCACGCATGCTCTGTCGGAGGCACCAACGCCCCCATGGTCCACACGGCTGCTGTGGCTACACAGCTGTGTAGCGGCTTGGCGTCTTCGCTCCTCTGCGTGGTGCTCCCCTAGCTCTAGTTCTACCTCCAGTCTCCGCTTGGACGACGCCATAGGTGCTACCCGTGACGTAATATCCCCGCCTCCCTTCACTGTTCGTGGCCCCACCTCGTTAACGCCTGCGCCAGTCGCAACGTTCCTTTCTTCGCGTCGATGTCGGCGTCTCATCTTTTCTCGCTCGACTCGGCCCTGAAGGCAGGCTTTGCGGAAGGAGTCTCTCTCACTCATCTCTTCTTGGCCCATTCCTATCGTGTCACGAACGTCAGCACAAAAGCCATCACGCCACCGGCCTCCTGCGGAGCAAACATCTTGCCAGCTCACAAAGGAGCGAGCGGCGCGCGACTCGGACACGGACCAGAGGTCCGCACTGGGAAGCTCGAAGCCACAAGAAACACATGTACTTGGCCCTGAAGATCTTCCACCTTCAACACAACCTGGAATGTGCTGGGGCAGGTTTGTTGTGCCGGATGCGGGATCCAACCCCGACGCTTCGTCTCTTGCCCCGTCTCTTCCTCTGACGATGACCTCGGCAACGTTCACGGCGTCGCTCTCTTCCACCGTGTCGTTCGCGTGCTTGGCGCGTAGCGTGCATACCCCGCACCAGGGACAATAGTCACCGACACTAGCCTCCTTCGATGCTTTGGATTCGCTGACATCGTTCCCAGTTGTTTCGTTGCGGGCAGTGGTTGGGGTAGCGGCCGCCGCGCCGCGCCGAGCCTCGCTCGTTTCGCCTGTCTCGAGGAGGAACGGGAGGACTAGATCCGCTCGTCTACCGTATGCGTTCGCTCCCGCTCGCCAGTGCTGCACCTGAGCGTCTAGATGGACGCCGTCCATCTGCGTGAGCTGAAGGAAGGATTGGAACGCAGCGCAGGACACGAACAGAGCGTCACAATGTCATCGGACTAGTATTGGATAGTTGACACAAATCACGCAGCCCCAAAACCTTGATAGAGGTGCCCTCGCCAGTCCCACACATGCACACCTCTATGACACGTACAAAGCGGCGTGTCAATTCCCGTGCTAGTACTCACGTGAGGGCAGCTGAGGGTGATCGCATCTGCGTAGTTTGGGCATGCCGATGCCGGGTTGTCGTGTAATCGGACTTCCTCTAGCCCGCTGCACGCTTCAAGCGACAGGGAAATTTCATCGGGAGCCCTCAGCTGGTTGAAGCTTGCGTCAAAAGATCGCAACAGCGGGCAACCGGCGAGAGAAAAACGCCCGCCAAGGGTTTCCAGCGCGTTGTCCTGCAAGTGTAGCACTTCCAGACTTGGCAGCCACACGGTAGCATCATCGTATGTCCGCCCATGCTCCCCACGTGTCGATGTTTCTTGTTTTCCATACTCGCTCTCCCGCCCCTGTCCTTCCGATACCCTCCCCAAGAAAGGGGTGTGTTTCAAGTGTTGATCTCCTGGTGAAGCACGTAGCTGCTGTGGTGAGTCTCCCGATAACTCCAGCAGCGCCCCCTCCAAAATGGCACGATGTTTGGTCCAACGCTCAGGCAACGAGTCCAGACGCGTCTCTGTCGGAGAAGAAGCCCAAGAGCCCATGCTGCGTATCTGATTGCCACTCAGCCAGAGCTCGTTCAAGAGAGGCAAGCAAAGCGGAGAGGGTGGCTCCCGCAGAAGGTTTTGGCTCAGGATAAGTGTCGAGAGAGCAGGGCAACACTCAAGCGCCTGGCCATCCAACGTCTGGAGCTGATTTCGACCGAGGTCCAAGTGAGTCAGGGAAGCCAGCCCCTGCAAAGCCCGCGGATTGATCGATGCGAGGCGGTTGTGATACAGTTCCAACTTCTGTAACCCACCGCAGGCGACAGCCCTCTCTACTACAGTGGGACACGTTTCTGTCTGGGCTGGGATAGGATCCGTGGGTTGCATGAGACCGGCCGCGAACCCTTCCGGCAGCTCTCGGATGTGGTTGGTGTTGGCTGACAGCTCGACCAGTGCCGGTAGGAGTTTTAGCTCGTGGAGGGAGGAGAGGTGGTTGATATCCAGTCGAAGCTCTCGCAGGCTAGGGAGGCCAGACAGTCCCTGCAGAGACGACAACCGGTTGTCCCTGTGCGGTGTGACGGCCAAAGACAATCCGGAGATGTGGAAAAGGACGGGTTCACTGTAGGAGGTGCGCAGGTGGGAAGGATTATTCTCCGCTTGTCTGAATCATTTCGAGACCGAACACAATTTTTCAATTCCCAGCAGAGGGACCATTTGTTTGAATGGGAAACTCCTCGCTTACATCGTTCCCTTTCCCTCTTTAACATCTTGAGAACACCACCGCCTGTAGAACGATGTTGAATGAGGCCATCATGAGCTGACGATAATCTTCATCGCTCACCTGAGACCTAGCCTAACGAGGGATGTGCTCACTACCAGACCAGAGGGAGAAGACAGCCGGTTCACATTGAGCGAGAGCGACTTGAGCGACGTGCACGCTTGGAGCAAGGATGCCGACGTCAGTCCCTCCACGCAAAGCTCAAGCGCGGTCAGATCTTCCAGGGGGCCCAGGTGCGAGAGCATGTCCGATGTCAGTTGGCACTCCGCCCCATCTCGCTCTGCTGGCCCAGCCCTATCCTTCTTAGGCGAGACTAGGTCTTCTTCGAACGACACCTCCCCCTGAGAACCGCCGCGGGCGCCACTTTTGTTGCCATGGCCTGAAAGTGTCCTACCCAGACCCTTGGTATGCGCTGCAGCTTGACGGTCCTTCCGAACCCGTAGAGCACTGGCCGAAATTCGGTCCAAATGCCTTTTGCAGTATTCCCTGCGTCGGGCTTGCTCCATCATCAATATCGTTCTTTCGTCCAGTAGCTCCGACGGCTCTGGCTTGGACGGTGTTCTGACTCCATCCGCGCACACCAATGCCCGTGCCGCAGCCACCCCTCTGGGATCCGCTGCTCGCTGAATAGGTGTCGATCTCGCCCACGCCTCACGGAGACAAGCTTCTCTCTGGCGGCGAAATTCGGCGTTCCACGTCGCGGAAGCACTATCCTCGGCCGCCATGCGGTAGCCTTCAGCTCGTGATGAGGCCAGCTCTTGCCTATTGGGTGGTTTGAGAAACACGAAAACGGGTAGAGTTTCATGGGATATGCTTATCGCACTTGACCAATGAATCTCATGAATGTACGAGTGGCTCCGTTTTCCAAGCTAGTGCGGTCGGAAATGGGTACAAGCAAACGTGCAGTTCCTGTACGCCAGATAAGTATGTGCAAGAGGGTTCACATGGTAAGTGCTTCATGTGAAGTGCTTTGTCAGTAATGGTAATTTGATCGATTCGCGCATCCTTTCCCCACACTACTTCTGACCCTCATCCCCTCTTTCATCAAGACAATATCCCAGCTCACTCTTTGAAGTTCTTCAGGCCCCTCGCCAGCATGTCTTCGGCCTGCATTACTACCCGCTCCAAAATCTGGGCTTTCTCCGCAAGCTTGAGCTCGCGCATCGCCAGGTCTTCTGCGTGCATCCTGCTGGACTCTTCCTCCTCGCGCTGGGCTATTTGCGCTCGTCGCAGGTCTTGGATCTCGACGTCCATCAACGCGCGAGTGAATCGCTCCTCGGCTCGCATGCGCACCAGCTCTTCTCCCCTCGCTGTTTCCTCGAGGTGTCTAAGAAACGCCCAGGATGCGCGCGTGCGTTTCTCCGCATACCTTGTAGTTTTACGATCAACGTGCTTGCGAGAATGAGGACGAGTGAATGACTGCAAGAACACACTTCTAAGGAACTTGCGAATAGTTGGGCACATGTACCTGTATGCATATCATCAGAGAGGCCCTTGGTCGTTGTAAGTGGTACATGGGGGGCTAATTTTTTCAAAGGGGAATGAACACCGACATGTTTAACACTCACAAATCTGTTCAACGTGGGGAGGACTACAGTAACAGGTGTTCTTCTGTGGACTTGTCAAGCGGTCACGTCGCTCACCTCATTGCGTCTAGCTCAGTGTATTGATGCTTAAGCTCTAACTCCCTACGTTCTGCTTCAAGTGCAACAACGCGCTCCGCCAATCGCTCCTCCTGGAACATGCGCCGTGTCTCTTCAGCTTGGCGTGGACGAGAGGCAAGGGCTGGAGCGACTAGTGCCCTCATACAACGTCCCCTCCATATGGCCTGAAACACCACCGCACATCTTGCCCTCTTATCCCTGGAGGAATTCGCGCCACGGGGGCAAGAGACGTCAAAGATATGCATGTATGCTTCACATCATGTTTCCCCAACGGGGGGGGGGGGGGCGTACTCATTTGTTGCTTGCCGTAGTCATTTGACCATTGACCACGCGTCCCTTTCGAGACGGAGCACCGTTCCTACACCTACTAGAGACACCACCAACATTTGGGAGCTCTTTACGTTTCTGCCACAAACTCCATAAAAATTTCTTGCACATCTTATCCCCGTCCTCTAGGGCCTCTTGTGCCCACCATCTATCCCCAATTATCGCGATCGTTTTTTCGCTGTTGTCTAATTTACCAAACTTGTACATGTCACACCCTCTCTGTCTCATTTCCTCCTCGAGATCCTCTCTTTCCTTCCTGTACAACTCACACTCCCCAACTATGTGGGGTCTACTCTCCTCCGATTTGCCACATGGACATGTGTGTCTATCCTCCTCTTCCTCTCTCCTACGGCTGGTATACCTCTTCCTCCGTTCTGGCAAGTCCAGATCGCCTACTCGAAATTGCAATTTCAGCTTTTTCGCATAGTCCATGGGGCCGTCCAAGTACTTCTTCAC